TCCCCTTTCCTCACACCTGTTTCCCAATTGATTTGTCATTTTCATTAGTCCCTGGGCTCACTCCAGGTTGACTAACTCCTGCTTGGTGAAGAGCTGCTCGAGGCAAATGGAAAGCTCCTTGAATTATTCCTTTCGAAGGAATTCTGATGGGAGCATATCCAGGATGCCTGCTGGGAAGGAGTCATGCAGGGGTGCTGGGGCACCTGCCAGTGGATCATACACCCTGTTCCCCTTTTTCAGGACGGAAAGGGAGAGCGGTGTCCTGGTTGCTCGGGTATAATCTGCATCACAGACACAGGGCTGGCCTGTCCAGCGGAAACTGTTTCATCCCATGAGGTTCCAGAAATATTTCTGGCTTTGCACTCTAGAAGCCCTCCTGCAGGCTGCATGTCAATCCATTGCACTTTGAATGCACACCAAGGGAGGCGGCTCTTTGAAGGAGTCTTCTCCTGAGTCCTCCAAAGAGACAAATTCTTTTGCAATAATGACTCACAGGTCCAAATGTTGATCCCTCTGTGTCTGGGCTATTGAATGTTTATTCCTGTCCAAGCAAGAGCTCTTGTTCTCCGGTTACCTGAGTCAATCATCCCCGCCTTGTGGCTCTTGGTTTCCCAGCCGCCTTTTCCAACTGTCACCATCCTCGTCATCAGCGTGTGCTGCTCAGTGCCACGGTCAGCAGGGTGCCAGGCAGCCCAGAACGAAGCAGGGCTCCGAGGCCAAGGCTGGAGGCCCCAGAAGCCCCGCCCTCAGGAGGCTGGGGGAAAACATGGCCCCGCGTCCAGAAGCTCCTGTCCGTGGACCAGGTCAATGGCGCCTCACTGAGCTGTCTCGGGAACGTGGGCTTGTGGAGGGGGTGGGTGCGCTCAGCCGATAGCTGTGACCCCACCAGAGCATGTGCGCTTGGAAGCGCTCTAAGATTTATCTGTGAGAAATGTTGGCCAAGCCAGCTGGCCCAGTTCTCCTCCCCGCCTGGCATCCCCGTGGTCCCGAGTGTGGCCCCTGGATTCAAAAGGAGAGCAACGTCACCTGGAGCCCTCAACGCCCACCCTGTAGTCGATCACACCTCCCACCATCTGAATTTCATACCATAAGTTCTGTCACGGGCCACTCTGCATGACTTTTATCATTCCATTGGGTCTGCTTTGCTTCCCTCACAGCCCCGCAGGCCCTGCGGGGGGAACAGGCAGGATGATGACTTTAGGGCACGGGCATTGGTGCAGCCCAGCACATGCAGGGTGCCAGGATGCCAGGGTGCAGGAGCAACAGCCCTAGCTCAACCTCTCCTGAGCCTCTGGGCCTCACCTACCTCATCCATAAAACAGGGATCCTCAATAACTCTGTCAATAGTTCTGGAGTTGAAGCAGCTGGGGAACAGATCTGAGGAGGAGGCACCTGCTAGGAGCACACCCTGTGCTCACACCTGTCCACACAGTGACATGCTCTACTGCAGTCCCAGCCCTGCAGCTGTGCTGGTGACAGGGCCTCCTTATGGTGTATGCCAGCACTCAGCGCACTGCGGGTCCTGAAAATGTTTATTGAAAGAATAAGTAACAAATTAGCACATGCATCCTGTCTGCAGCTCAGGTCAGAAGTCCCTCTAAGATGGAACTGGGGGCTGAGAGATGAGACTAGAAAGCAAGAAGGAGCAGCTTCCCTGTTCATGAGACACTGAGGCAGTGCCAAGCCTCATGTGCAGGTAAGGCTACAGCTTCTGGCTGTTTTTCCTCAGCTGGTGACACACTCCCCCACCCTCAACAGCAACCCCCAAGGCCAGAAACAAGCGGAGGAGACGGTATAAACAGAGGCGCCCCAGTATCTCCCAGCCCACCCAGCCTGTGCCCACAGGCTGTGCCCACACACCGGGCCCACCTCTCTGGGCTCCTAGGTGTGTGCTCCTCTGTTCACACGGGGCCTCTGTCCCTGCCTCACAGGAAAGGCCGCAGGGGTACCCCATTTCTCCCCCACTTTCCTCTCCCAGCAGGAAGCCTGTTTGGCACTCCTGGGCATGAACCAGAGAGTCTTGGTTGAAAGCCCTGGCCCGGGGACTAAATGAGGCCATGAGCACAGCGGGGAAGGGCCAGGACTTTGCTGGACACGCCTCACTCTCCCCCTGCACCAGCCTCCACAGCCTGATTGCTTCCCCGGCCTGATCTCCTTGGAATCGACGACTGCAGTCAGAGGCTTCACGACGCCTCAGAGGACTGGAGAGACCACCTTGAGCAGGACAGACAGGGCGCGGGGGCATCGGGGCATTTGGCACCCTCCTCTCGGGCACCAGAGCACACACTGCAGCAGTGAGCCCACCGTTCTCCAAAACCTTAAGAAAACGCCTCCAGCAAACCCAATAATGTCTAGTTGGAGAGGCTTAGGAGATTTGGAAAACAGAAAGGACCACATCTTCTTTAGAGGAGACAACCACACCAGTGCCCCTGTAATTCCACGTAGGGGGCAAGGAGGCAGGTCAGGGGGATAAGCCACCCCCAAACCTAACCCAAAACCAAGGCAGGTGAAGGAAATGCACTGTCGTGCCAGCCACGCCCTGGCCGGCTCGGGGAACAGCACAAAGGGGTGGCTCCTGAGCAGCAGGCCCGAGAAGGCTTCTTGGGATGAACGCTAACAAAAGAGGTTAAAATCAAGACAGAAAACCTCCCTCGGCAGAGAAGAAAGAAAAAGGTGCTCCTAGCCTAAGTTTTGAGGTTTTGCAGGAATGTGACACAGCCAGTTGGGGAAAGCGGGGTGTCCTAGGAGTCCATGCAGACACCGTCCATCAAGGTAAATGTCACTGACAGGGGTGAAGGAGGCAGAGAGGGGAAACTCACATCTTTTCCAACTAACTCGCCGTAGTCCGCCTGGAAACAGCTGTCCAGGTGGAGAACGCAGAAGAGGTTCAGAAGGAAGGAAGAGGCACCCCTGGCAAGTGATGGCTGAGCGAGACAAGAATGGAAACAGGGTGTGAAGCAATGCCTGGGGACCGGGCTCCCGGGAGAAGCTCCTGGGAAAGCACAGGTGCAGCAGCCTTGCAGGAAGGCAGTCGGGAGCAGCTCCCACAAGGGAAGCTTGCTGGGAGAAGGAGGCTGGGCCTCCGCGCAGGGCCAAGCTGGCTCAGATGTCCTCCGGTCATGACCCTCCTGCAGACTTTGTTCCGTGGAGAGCGCTGAGGGTTTGCTCAGCGCAGCTCAGGAAACAAGTGTCCCTTCTTCTGGGAGAAAGATCATCATGCGACATGTACAGAAAACAAAGACAATGAGTGATTCTTTCTGTGCCTGACGCACACCCACCCTGGCTAGGACCTGGGAGCGTTGGCAACCGGGTGAGAACTCCTGTGCTCCTCTTGGCCTGTATCAACAAAAGCTATGATTCATAGATTCCCCGTGGAAACTGAGACTCTGAGACAACATCTTGACGGAGGAGAGGCCCAGCCCCGGACTCAGCCTCGAGCAGGAAAGAGCTCAGAGAAAAGGAAGCCGCAGCCGCAAGTGCCCAGCTGCCTTCCAGCAGGTGAGCGGTGCCTGCCCGCTCCGCGTGCACCTGGGCAGGGTACCTGCACCAAGCAGCCGAGGAGTCTGGCTCTGCTTCTCACAGCCTGGCCCTGTGCCCCCAGTTAATCATTCCCTGACTCAGTTTCCCCATCTGCAACATGGAGACTGAACACATTTCAGTTTCTTTCTGCCTCTCCCATCCTCCCGAAGCACTGCAAGAAGCCAGCTAGATGAAAGGGGATCTAGCAGTTTCTCTGGCTCGGGAACTGAGATACAGAAAAAAGGGGTTGAGGGTCCTCACAGACTCCTTGTCCGTTTGTAGACTGACGGGAAAGTGGGGTGCATCCACAAGACCAGCAGGGGAAAAACCAGAGACAGGCCCTGCCCCGTGCAACCACTGAGTTCTTTTTATACAAGATGGAAGGATAGGGAGCCCTGGTCCTCGGCAAGAGAGGCCCGATGGGAGACCGCCGGGGTGCGGCAGCCTCAAACAGAATGTGGGAAGGGAGGCTTTGCCATAGGTCACTTCTCATAAACTCTGTCATGGCTTCTGGCTTGTCTTCCCAACAGGGCCCCGGGCCCACGGTTACAGAGAGAGCAAGCACAGTGGGCGCCCTCCGAATCCCCACGGGACTCGCCACAGGACGCACCGCTGGGGGCACTTCATTCATACGCGCTTGATAGTATCAGAAGGAGAGGAGACTCAACAAACATTTACTCAGCACCGACATGCCGCAGCGTTGCAAAAGTTGTTTTCCCACACGAATCCTCATCCCAAGCCCCACTGAACAGACACTCAAAATGAGGCTTAGAGAAGGTTCGTGATGTGGCAGGACCGCGGTCCAGCTTCCCCTTTCTACGGCTCCTCCACAGCAGCCGGGAGTCACGTGACATCGGCGTGGAAGACCCACCATGCGCACAAGCTCACACTCCGGGCAAGCATGAGGGACCTACCACCACCACAGAGCTGCAGCTCTGGAGTCAAATAAAGGGCAATCCAAACCGGGTGGGTTCCTGAGGAAGATGGATGGAGAGCAAGATTTTCAAGATCTGGAGGAACACTGAGCAGGGGAGAAGGCCTGGGGATCAACCACTGAGAAAATGCTCAGGAGCGAGAAGCAGCCCTAAGGAGCAGGAAGGAAGCGCAAACAGTGAATTGCAGTCGCTTGTATTGACACAAGATGTTTGAACAGGAAGGAGTCAGTCCCAGGCCTAAGAAAGCGGTTTGGAAACGAAGCAGTGTTTTTTGAGTCCATTATAAGATGCATGATTAGGACATGACTGAAAGCAATTAACATGCTTCTCATTCGTCTGCTGATCAAGTTGTGACTGGAAAGGAGTTTCCGCGTGGGGGGAGGGGGGCAGGGAGCCAAGCAGTGGCTCTGAACACCGTTTGCAGAGAGGAGCCGTGAGCTCAGGGCTGGCGAATGCCTCGGGGATGCCATCAGAGGCCTCCATTAGCGGTGCCCCGCCCCTCCCACAGGTCCATAAAAGCCCAGGGGCCCGAGGCTGTCCAGATGCCCTGTCTTCTCTACCCCCCTGCAGGAGCCCCCGTCAGGAGCTCTCCTCTCCCGCCCTCCTCGGCCACCATGTCTCGGCAGTCCACCGTCACTTTCCAGACTGGCGGTCGCAGGGGCTTCAGCGCAGCCTCGGCCACCACCCCGGCCAATGGACGTTCTCGGTTCAGCTCCGTCTCCACGGCCCGCTCCACAGTGGGCAGTGGAGGGCGGGGAAGGATCAGTGGTGCTGGGGCCGGCTTTGGAAGCCGCAGCCTCTACAGCCTTGGGGGGACCAAGCGGGTCTCCGTTGGTGGGTGTGGCAGCAGCTTCCGAAGTGGCTTTGGTGGCAGGGCGAGCAGCGGGTTTGGGGTCAGCGGTGGATTTGGCTATGGTAGTGGGGTTGGAGCGGGCTATGGTGGCGCTGGCTTCCCCGTCTGCCCTGCTGGAGGCATCCAAGAGGTCACCGTCAACCAGAGTCTCCTGACTCCCCTCAACCTACAAATCGACCCCACCATCCAACGAGTGAGGAAAGAAGAGAAGGAGCAGATCAAGAGCCTCAACAACAAGTTCGCCTCCTTCATCGACAAGGTGAGCCAAGAGCTGTATCCGTTCTTGGGGTGGTGGTCTGAACTCTTGGTGAGGCCCTGGCCTAGAAAGGGGCTTCCTTGTGGGAAAGCAAGTCAATAAGGTCCCTCCAGGGGCTGAGGCATTGCAAATGGGGCCAGATTGCCCCAAAGAACCTTCTGGAATGTCCCCCTTGTTCCCCTTAGAGCCACGTGGGCTGGTTCAGTCAACCCAGAGGAAAGAGTTAAGTTGTTCTTTACAGGAGGAGTTTCCACTGAGCAAACTAACTAAACCAGAGCAGATACTTTTGAGACACTCAGTCAAGAGCCCTCCCCTGCCCCTCACCATAATGACCTCCAAGCCCCACTGGTTGCACAGAAGCCCTAGAGAACTGAGGGTGGCTTCAAAGTCTCTCTCCTTTTGAGCTGGAGTTGTCAATTATAGAGTTGACAAATGGGTGCCAGGTGAAAAGAATATTTTCCTTCTCTCCCCTATTAATCTAACTGGGAGGCCAGGCTTCCCCAGTTTCTCAAAATTTCATTTTCTTCTTTCCCCCTCCAGGTGCGGTTCCTGGAGCAGCAGAACAAGGTCCTGGAGACCAAGTGGAATCTCCTGCAGGAGCAGGGCACCAGGACTGTGAGGCAGAACCTGGAGCCCTTCTTTGATGCCTACATCAATGACCTCCGACGGCAGCTGGATAGCATCACTTCTGAGCGGGGCAGGCTGGACGCAGAGCTGAGGAACATGCAGGACGTCGTAGAAGATTTCAAAGCCAGGTAAGTTGGAGATGGGCTTTTAGTCATGCACAGCCCTCCGGAGAGGTACAAAGGAGCAGATGTCGCTGCCAGCCAGAATATTTGCAACTGGCAGTCATCCCATCCCATGGAGGTAGCGTGCTGTGGGGGGTCACGAAGGGGCCCTCATCTCAAGCATTATCTAGTCAAGGAGACTATTTGTATTTGCTGATATGGCTACAGAGGATCTCTGCATCATCTCACAGAGCATTGCTGCTCTGGAAAGCATGATAGCATTGCACAGTCAGAATATGGTTCAACTTCACTGCACGCAGACTGTCGCCGAGGCTTGCATTGGCAGGATACACACGAGAGTGTAGGCAAGGTGAGCTGGTCCTCCTAGGGGAGGTAAATTTGGACCGGCCATCAAGCAGGCTGGGACAGGCAAGGCATCCAGGGACAGGGAGCAAGCTGACCCTTAGTGGCTCTGCAGGAGCTGTCCTAGGAGCTATACCTACTCACCAAAAGCAACACTGCTCGACCCTGAGTGTGAAAATGTAGCAAAAGCTACCGGAAAAGAGTCCTGAATAAAGTTCACCTTGTACTTCCAGCAGGCGTGTGAGGCAACTAATATTTTTAGAGATTGAAATGATGCATCTCAAGAAGATGGTTTTGCATAAATATTTCTAGTCCCACTAAGTTCCACACTCCCCTTCTAGTCTCACAAAAAAAGAAGAACTTCTTCTGGCAGAAGAAATGATTTCCACTTTATAGAGGAAGAAACAGAGGTTACGTGACTCACCCAAAGTCACACAGAGGTCAGAGGAAGAGCTGGAAAGGATTTGTGGTCTCCTGCCTCTTGCTACACACTCTCCTCTGCCTGGGAAGAGTTCAGTCAAAACCTTACTCAACAGAACGCCCCCTCTTCTTGTGTTTACAGGTATGAGGATGAAATTAACAAGCGCACGGCCGCTGAGAATGAGTTTGTGGCTCTGAAGAAGGTGAGTAGAAAAGTCTCAAAAGAGAATCTTCAAAACCGGACCTTGGAGCGTGGTGCGATCCGACACTTGGGCTGCCCAAGAAATGTGATGTCATTCTTGAGCATATCTGGCCAGCCCAGGCCTACCAAAATGCTCCCTCCCTGTCTACGACTCCCCGAAACTTGCTTGGGTTTCTCTTAGCCCGAGAACTTAAGCTCCCGGTTCTCTGTAAATCATTTACCCCCAACCAAGAGTCCCAAGAGCAGAGTCTGCTGAAGTCCCCCTGGAAGGGCCAGGGAACAGTCGCCCAGTGTCTCTGCTGACTTGCTGCTTGAGGCCGGGGCCGCACAGCAGCTTCCTGTGCTTGTTCCAGGACGTGGATGCCGCCTACATGAACAAGGTGGAGCTGGAGGCCAAGGTCAATTCTCTGACGGATGAGATCAACTTCTTGAGGATGTTCTTCGAGGCAGTAAGCGCCTGCATGTGTTTTTGTCTCCTTCCCCCCCACCCCAGTTCTGGAGCCGGGAGAGTCACCCACGAGTGCCCCTGCCCAGCACTGCACCCCAGACACTCCAAGGCGGGGCGCAGCGGGGGGCATGGGGGAACTGGGAGAATTGTCCAAAATCTTGACACACTAAACCCTCCCACAGAGCTGGTTCTGCCCCTACCCCATGGCCAGCAAGGAAAGAGTGCTGATTTCGGAACCCCGGGTCCCGGGGCAAGGTTGTCAAGAAATCAAGACCCACCTCCTTCTGCCCCCTCCCAGAAAAGTTCAGGAAGGCAAGCCGGCCAGGGAGCCTCTCCTCCTCTGAAGACGCCTTGTTCTGGGTCTGAGAAAAGTAGGGACTGAAGTCACCCTGTGCAGGGTCCTAAAAATTACTTGATTCTAAAGAAATCTTTTTTGCTGGCACGTGGATAAATGTGTCACATTCGACTCTATACAATCTGGGCTCAGAGGAGTCCCAGCCTTCATACCCAGCCCAACAGTCAGAGGGGAGCCGTGGAAGCAGAACTGGGGACACCCCAGCACACTGCCCTATGGTCCAGGAGCTCCTTGGGGACAGGCATGTGACCCCCTAAACGGCTGGGTGTGCCCAGGAAAGAGCTAGAAGAATCCCCTCCCTGGGATTTCCAACCCAAGTAGCTAGTCATCCGGGTGATTTCAGGTCCCTTCTTTCTCTGCTCCTGTGACGCTGAGTTTACTGGCCTGCAGGAGCTGTCCCAGATGCAGACCCAGGTCAGCGACACGTCTGTGGTGCTGTCCATGGACAACAACCGCTCCCTGGACCTGGACAGCATCATCGCTGAGGTCAAGGCCCAATATGAGGACATCGCCAACCGCAGCCGGGCGGAGGCGGAGTCCTGGTACCAGACCAAGGTGAGTGTGGACCCCCCCCACAGTCAGTTCCAGGGTTAATGTTCTCTGAGGTACCAGATCATCACTTAACTATTAGCCACAGGCCTCAGGAAACACGTGAGTGTGTCTTCAAGTTGGAAGTGGCTTTGAAACTATCCAAACTTAGCTTGAAATGTATGTGGAGGCCCAGCCACGTGCACAAGTATGTCCCGGCCATGCTGGGTGCCCAGGGGCCAGTATCCACGTCTCTTACAATCTGGTGGGGTTCTGGGGGAGACTCCAAAACCACCATAAAGCTGTGTTAGCTGTTTCTAAAGTGTTTATTTAATTGCACAGTGTGGAGCTCCTTCTTTATGCCAAGTTGAGTTACAGAGAGGGAAATGAATACATCACAGGGAACCCAGGGCCTGAGAGGCCATAAAGTGAACAGACAATCATTGCAGGGAAAAAGACAGCATTAATAAAAAGCTTCCAAGAAGAGGTGGGTTTTCCGTCCTTTTTCGGAAGTAGTGAGGGTCAGAAGACTTCCCAGGAGGGAGAGCCGAGGAATTTAAGCCTGGACAAGCAGCCCTGTGAGACTAGGCCGCAGAATGAGCAGAAAGAGCTTCCTGAGCAGGAGGGTTTGCTGTGGGAAGGAGGAGGTCGCGACGGCGGCGGCTCACTGTCCAAAGGAGCAGTCGGCCAGGAGGGCTGCCATGGGGGTGTGTCGTGCACAGGAGAGTCCAGCCCAGGAGATCTGCTCCCTGCTGAATCCAGACCCTTTCAGGGCAGCTGCCCCCACCAACCCTGGCCCCTGCCCCTACCCTTTGCTGTGCCTGCTTCAGGCCTCACTCCCACAACGTGGCAGTAAGAAAGGCAAGTGTGAGCGGCCAGGGGTGTACAATGCAGGGGCAGCCTCTTGACAGGGTGGGGAGAAAGCACTGACTCTCAAGGTGCAGGGGTTGAAGTTCATAGTGAACAAGTCCTTTCATTGGCTGCTGTTCCCTTTATGTCCATCTACTGCTAGAAACAGGAATCCAGTGTCACAGACCCAGGCAGAGCTTCACCCGGGTCTCTTGGTCAGCTGGGGAAGGAATGGGTTTTGCTCCCGTCTGCTGGAGTGGGCCTTCCTGCTACGTCAGTGTCTTGGATTCGCACCAGTGTACGCGGAGTGACCCCAGAGCCAGGACACTATTCCAGAACGTCTTTAGAATGTCAGCCTTGGCTGATTCCATCCAACACCGGTTCCCTGAATCTTCTCCCTTCTTCCTGCTTGTGCTCCCCATCACCACAAACGCCCCCAAGGACAGTGAGACAGTGACCAAGTCGCCTCTCACCTAGAGCTCAACATACTCCTTTGTGCCCCAGGATCGGCACTCAGGCCACTTCCCTGCCTGGAATGCCCCCTCCCCACTCAGTCACTTCGGTCACTTCTTCCCACCCGTCAGAGCACAGCTGAGCGTCTCCATCGCCAGAGGTCCTCCCTCTCTCCCCCTACTTCCCTGCGATGCGTGTCATAGGACCCTGTCCACTTCCTGAGGACACTTGCCTCAGTTTGGAACTATAAATCTAATAATGGGCTTATTTGATTAATACTGACCCTGATCACCCTTGGCAAAGAGCAAGCAAGAGTGTGATTATGCTCTTCATAATATTCCCAGGGCCCTGTACATGCATGTTGAGCAGATGTGCTTAAGAAATAGCACCTGGATTAGTGCGTGAGGGAGGGAGTGACAGGTCAGTGCATGAGTGGCCTGCTGTGGACCGGGGTCAGGCCCTGCCCACAGCAGTGCCTGGACGGGTGTCTGGTGAGGTGATGGGCCCCGCACTGTTCTTTCAGTACGAGGAGCTGCAGGTCACGGCCGGCCGGCACGGGGACGACCTGCGCAACACCAAGCAAGAGATCTCCGAGATGAACCGGGTGATCCAGAGGCTGAGAACCGAGATCGACAATGTCAAGAAGCAGGTAATGTTCTGGCAGGGCCAAGAGCTCCTTGCACATTCACTTCTTCCATTTCTGCCATGTGTGGTGACCCAAAAGCTCCACACCTCCAGGGCTAGCAGGACGCTTATGGTTCCCCTCCCTTACAGTGTTCCAGCCTACAAACGGCCATCGCTGACGCAGAACAGCGTGGAGAATTGGCCCTCAAGGATGCGCGGGCCAAGCTGGTGGACCTGGAGGAGGCCCTGCAGAAGGCCAAGCAGGATATGGCCAGGCTGCTGCGTGAGTACCAGGAGCTGATGAATGTGAAGCTGGCCCTGGACGTGGAGATCGCCACCTACAGGAAGCTGCTGGAGGGCGAGGAGTGCAGGTGAGAGCAGACGCCCAGCTCCATCCCAGCTGCCTGGGCATTTGTAGAAACAGGTTGCTGCAGCTCCCTCCTCACCTGGATAAGCGAGCAAAATACAAGTGGAGTCAGGCCATAACAAAGAACACAGATGCAATTTTTTTCCAAGCTAGTAAATCATTATCAGATTCCCATACTTGAAACACAGCTACTTTGAATCCCACATGAGATGAATTGCTATTGTCTATTGCTAATAAGTCTAAGGTCTAAATAATCGAATCCTGTCAAAGGAGGGTATGTCGTATGAAAGCTTCTGGATGTAGAAGAAGCTGTCGTAGCATCTGGACTTACTGGTCTACCACTCACTAGTCATATAAGCTCAGTAAGTCAGTATCCTCAGTGGACCTCTATTTCTTCAATGACAGAATAAAGAGCACAGATCACGTGATCAGATGATCACTGAGTCTCAGTGGGAGTTTTGTGCCCAGCCAATTCCTAGCTGTGTGACCCAGGGCAAATGATTTAACTTCTCCATTCCTCAGTGTCTTCACTTGTCAAATGGGGATAACGTAGTTCCTAGCTCATGTTACTTAAGAGGATTAAAATAAGGGAACACACAGAAATCTCTTAGGGCACACATGGTACACAGTTACTCAGCAAATGTTCGCTATGCCGTTTAGTGACCAAAGACATGCACTTTTGGAATAAAATTAGTCTGACTTCAAATCCAATTTTGTAATCATGGGCAGGTTAATCTCCCTGAGCTACAATTTCCCTCTCTGTATAACTAAGATAATAATACACACTTAATGGTGTTGTTGAGAGAACTAAACGGCCGAGTGTAGGTAATAAGTATTCAATAAATGTTAGTTCTTTTTAATGTCCTAAGTATGTGTTTATGCATGAATGCCAGTTCTGTCCTCAAGATGCTATCTAGAATTACTCTAGTTGCTACAACAATAATAGACCGATTATTGCTTTTGTTATGCTTATGATTCACCCTCTTCTCCACACCTAGAACATCCTCAGCACTGCCCAGTGCATGACAGTAGTCTATTGTTGAGAGAGAAATCTCGTTCTATGCCAAGCCCTGCCTTTCCAATTGATAGCAGTCTGTGATTAGCCGAAGGTGTCTACTTTGCTTAAACCAGAAAGGTGTTTCTGAGATTACAGGTTTTCCTCCTGTGAACCTCAAACTCCATATTATCTCCTTTGATTATTATCTTTAATAACACTAGTGCTTAAATCATTTCAGCTTCCATTATAGCTGCATAAAAATAATAGTTTTTAAATGTATTTAAAAGAATTGCAAAATGTCTGTTCAAATGCCTGTAAACTGCTGGAAATGTAATAACCTTCTTTTCTCCTCTCCTTCCAACCAGGCTGAGCGGAGAGGGTGTTTCTCCAGTTAACATCTGTGAGTATGGCATCCTCTTGTGTAATTTCACACATGCGTGGTTGGGGGGATGAGGAGGCGGTGGGCATACGGAAGGCTTTAAGGGGAATCCGTTGATTGGGTTCATTTTGAAAAGCTTTGAGGTTCTGAATTCATTAATAAGTGGGTCTTTTTTTTTTTTTTTTTTTTAATGCTTTTTTTTTTTTTTTTTTTTTTTTATAGAGGCATGTTTATTTATTTATTTATTTGTTTGTTTGTTCTGTTTACACATGCACTGGGTACAGTCAGAAGCGCGGGAGGGTGAGAGAATTCACCAGAGCCAGAACAGGGAGCAGAGCAGGCAGAAGAACCGAAGTACACTGCTGAGGGGAGCAGCGGGCGGCAGGAGAGGTCTGCGCGCCATGGGGGACCCTCCTCCAGTGGCCGGGGAGCAGCCGGGGATCGAACCGGCACTGCAGAGGCTGAGGGCAGCTTCGCAACCCAGCACTCAACCGCTGCGCCACCGGGGAGGCCCAATAAGTGGGTCTTATTAGGAGAGAATCGTTAATGTCACAGTTCTTACTCTTTGCACATGAGAGAGGCAGTGGACATTTGCTGTAACCCTTTTGCATGGTTTAAAAGACCCAAGAGTTACATGTCCCATGTCTCTGGATTTCACACCTTTCTTGCTCAGATTGCAGCTCTAGCTCAGAGAGGAGCCTTTACTGTAGCCAGGATTTATGAAAGTCCCCACTGTGTCCCCAGCCTTCAGCCTTTGGAGGAAACCTTCACACCGGACAAAGGGCACTGCCAACTAGCCGGCCCCTTCCTGGTACAGTTTGGGGAGAAGCCCCAGCTCTTGGCTTAACTGTGCAGAGTGAAACTTCAAAAGTTACCAAGGGAAGTTACCCAGGCAGTGAGAGCACCCTACGACACAGCAGTGGGGTGCAGCTTCTCGGGAACAGAGGGACAGCGATGTCAGTGAGCCAGTGCAGCCTGTCCTGTTAGGAGGATCAGGCTCCACTCACAGAGCTCAGGTCTGGCATCCTGAGGCCAACTAAATGACCCTGGCCACTTACACTCTACATGAGTGTGGTGTTCTTAATGCCGGATTCACAAAACCGGTGATACTAACCACGACTCCAGAAGGCAGAGCCCTCTGAAGCACCCACGTGTCCTTCCTCGATGGCCTCTCCTAGTGGCTCCGAAGTCCCTCAAAGCTCATTTTGAGGACAGATGCCTCTCAAGTTTCCTTTCCCTTAAAAACACCTGAAAGTCTGCATTCCTTTCCTGGGCCTACCTTTGGAAAGTACTGACTGACTTAAAACAACAGAAATGTATAGGTTCACAGCTCTGGGGGCTAGAAGACAAAGCCAGGTGTCGGGTGCCAGAGTCCCTCAGAAGCCACGGGGAGAATCGTCCCTCTCCGCGTCCAGGCTTCCTTGCCATCCTTGCCTTGCAGCTGCATGCGCCCATCACTGTCTCTGCCCTGATGGCCATTTTTTTCCCCTGTGTCTGTCTTCACATGGACAGCTCCCCTTGGAAACGAGTCATGTTGGATTAGAGCCCATCCGAGTGATTTTACTGTAACTGGATTGCATCACAGAGAGCCGACTTCCAAATAAGGCCTCGTTCATAATCATGGGGGTAGAGTTTCAACATACATTTTTTTAAAGATTTATTTATTTATGCGTACAAGAGCTGGGGTACAGGCCAGAGGTGTAGGGGGTGAGAGGATTCACCAGAGACAGAGTGGGGAGCAAAACAGGCAGACAGACCGAAAGCACTGCTGAGGGGAGCAGCAGGCGAGACAGGAGAGGTCTGCTGTGCCGTGTGGGTAGCTCCCTGGCCAGGGATGGAACTCATGCTGCAGAGGCTGCGGGTTGCTTCATAGTGCTATGCTTAACCCCTTGCGCCACCAGGGAGGCCCCTCAACATATTTTTTAAGGGATACAATTCACCCCACAACAGAGTTCAGTTTTTATTTCAGTTTTCCTATTGACATGTTCAAAGCAGGGTACTAGATAATTAAGGTGTCAGGCGGTTTAAAATTTCAGGAAAAGAGCAGATTGGGAGAGAAAAGGAGCAGGGTTGTCTGGGCAACGGGTCATCTGTCACTTGGTTTAGCCAGAGTATTCCAGCTCGCTCTGGGATTCAGAGTGTGGAGGCTGGAGCTCATCAGGGAAGGTGATGTGTGCCTGGCAAGAGTTTGCAGGAGGAAGGGACGTAGGAGGAAGGAGCCTGCAGGGGGAGATGGGAACAGTACAGTGGGGTCAAGCAGAAGGCAGGCGGACCCATGAGCTTCCCAGAAGGGAGACATTCCCAGTGAGTTCTGGAAGGAAGAAAGGCACCAAGTAGCAGAAGGAGGCAGAAGGCCATTCCAGATGGGAGAATACCTAGCACTACAGTTCAGGGAAAACCAGACTGAGGCATAAGACAGTGACCTCCCTACATGGGCAGCTGCCAAGACTGCCCACAGACCTGCGGGCCCTGACACCGGAGGTTCTGACCACATCTCCTCTCCTCTGGCAGCCGTGGTCTCCTCCACTGTCACCAGTGGCTACGGTGGTGGCAGCAGCATTGGAGGTGGAAACCTGGGTCTCGGCGGGGGCAGCGGCTACTCCTTCACCACCAGCGGTGGGCACGGCCTGGGCACCGGCCTGGGGGGCTCCAGCTTCAGTGTGAGCAGCAGCCGGGGCCACGGGGGCAGCGGCTCCAGTGTCAAGTTCGTCTCCACCACGTCCTCCAGCCGGAAGAGCTACAAACACTGAAGTGCAGTCTGCCCACTCGCTCACCCCTGCCTGAATCCGACTCCACTGCTGGCCTGGCCTGGCCCCACGCCCCTGGATACCTGGGTCCTTCTCCTCCTCCCTCCACAAGGCTCACCTGTGCTGTTGGGAAGCCGACCCCGGCTCAGCCCCCTTCCCTGGCCTGCCAGCTTGTGCTCTGCCAAAGCCGCTGTCTTTCAAGTTCACATCCAGCCTGGCTTGAGCCTCCCCACCAGCTCTGCCCTCCTCTGCCCCATGCGGAGATGGGGAGTCTGTGTCTCCCAGACCATCTCAGCCATTGTCAGCACCCCCGTCTCACGGTGCCTAGAAGCTGCCTGCTGGGAGTGAGGCTCCCTCCCTCCCTCCCTGGAACGCGTCTATTAAATGCATGTGTAATGTGCGTGGTGTCCAGCCCTCTGCTTGGAACGGCAATGAGCACAGTGAACCGCCTCCTCCAGGCCTCCTCCCAGCACGGGCCCCACACAGGAGTGTCCAAAGCACATCAAGCCTCAAACCGTCCCCCGCCTTTCCTCTGAGCTAAGAAGGCCAGACTGGGGGCTGGGAGGGGCCTAGAGCAGAGCTCCCACCAGAGTCACTGCCCTCGCTGTCGGCTTCCTCCTACCTCTTCTGGGGTGCCTTCTTTTGAAGCCCAAGCCCCTGGGCAGAGCTCTGCCCACTCTATGTCATGCAGGTGATGCCGTCCCCTCCCCAGAGCAGACTTTGTTCCAAGGACACTGACGTAGGGTGGGTGGCCCAGCCCTCCACCAGCAAAGGGGTTGATTGTTCCCTGACAGCTTCAAACTTGCAGACCTAAGCAGAGAAATAACAGGCCAGGAGAGGAGTTAAAAGTCAGCCCTGGGGGCAATGCTTTCACCAGGCAGAGGAGCCATCTAGGCCCATAATTGCAGGCAGTAGTGAGACACCAGGAAGCTCCCACATTCCTGAGTTTACAGGTCTCCTGGACCCCTCCCGTCAGGACTGAGCCCTGGGGCAGGTGCCCCCCAAAGTGGGGGAAGCCATGGGGGTTTGGCAGGAAGTGGCTTCCATGCCCAGGGTCAAGCTCAGAACTGGTGGAAGTTTCCGAACCTCAGATCCGAGACATCATCATCCAGGGTGGGGGGGCAGGAAATTAAGTGCAGGGGAGAGAGGCCATGAACCAGGGCAAGACGATGACTGGAACATGGGGGGCAAAAATTTGGAGGGGCTGGGAGGGAAAAAATGACAGGAAGAAGAGAAACAACTTCGAGGGCAGATGTCAAGTGTCCCTGGGTCCCAGGGGAGAAGGGGGAGCAGTAAAGACCCTGGGGCGGGAGGAGAAGAGGGGCAGGAAGTTGGAGTGAATCTTGGCTTCTTCCCTTGCGCAGACCGCCTCTCCTTCGCAACGTGAGGTGCAGTGACCCTGGGCAGGTGATCCCCAGCCGCACCCCAGCCCCAGCACTCACCAGTCCTCTACACCTCAATCACTTTAAGCTCAAAGCAAGGGTGACAAGAGTAGCCGCCCCTGGTGCTGTTCATTAAGCGAGCAGACGGAAAACAGCTACCGGGGCAGCTGATCCATGAATGCTGGCCACGGAGATCCTTGCCCGCCCTCGAGGTGCTGTGAGAGGGCTCACATGCTACAGTATTTGCAACTGCTGCCACGCGGCCTGGCCTGGCTGAATCCTCAGTAAACGGGTGTTTTTTCTGAGGAAGTGACCACGACGGGAAGGGCGTCCTCAAGGGCTTGGGTGCACAGTCCGGGGCCTCGGGAGCCGAGAGGAAAGGAGCAGATGGGAAGCCTGGGAGTGTCCGGGCATGTGGCTGAGCACCTGGGTGGGGGGCTCAGGACCCACAACTGCCCGGGACTGGAATGCCCAGGCCTGGTCCTGCCCTGGGCAGGGTGTTCCCGTGATGATTAGCGGGGCAGGAAAACGGGCTGTGGCCAGACATGCCATTGAGGTGAACTCAACAGAGTGGTCTTTGATCTTCTCCAGCCAAGCCCAGTTCTTGAAAGGGATAAAAGTCTAGGCGACTCGGGGAGAGCCAGGCTTTGAAGGCTCTGCATCCTTTTGACACTCGCTCCTCCGGCCCTCTGGCACCAGCTCTCGCCATGACCCAACGGTCCTGCGTTACCATCAAGTCGGGCGGCACTCGGAACTTCAGTGCCTCCTCGGCCAGCTGCAGGCCCAGCTTCAGCTCCGTCTCCGTGTCCCAGAGCGGGAAGAATTTCGGATGCGGCTTAGGGAGCGGCTTCGGGACCAGGAGCCTCCACAGCTTTGGGGGTGGTGGCAACAGAATCTCCGTCAGCGGGGGCTACCGCTCCAGCCAGACCTGCTATGGGGGCTCTGGCTATGGGATGGGCACTAGCAGGATGGGGGGCGTCTACGGCGGGTACGGATTTGGGGGTGGGATGCTACCTGGAGCTGGGGGCATCCATGAGGTCACGGTCAACCAGAGCCTCCTGACGCCCCTCCACCTGGAGATCGATCCATCTCTCCAGCGGGTGAGGAAGGAGGAGAAGGAGCAGATCAAGACCCTCAACAACAAGTTCGCCTCCTTCATCGACAAGGTGAGAGGCAGGCAGGATCCCTGCCAGGAAGCAGCTGACTCCCAGGGGTCACTGCTTTCTGCACCTTTTTGAGGTCAGCTGTGACTTGCCCAGGACTTGCGACCCTGGGGCTGGGACGACAGCTGATGGGGGGGGGAGAGCTTTCCCACCTTGTTGAGGTGGAAGCAGCAAAACATCCACCTCCAGAGCCCAGAGCTGCTTGACCCACTGCTGGGAGGCAGAGTGATCTGGTGCTTGGTTTAAAATTAGACAACTAGAGGGTCGGTCTGGAGGAAAGCGGATAAAGGAATGAAAGCTAAAATAAGGTCAATTCAGGGAGGTGGGCAGGGCTCACGTTTTCCTGCCGGTTCCATCAGGGCAAGCCCCCTGTGACGGCCTCCCAGCCTCCTGGCGATCTGGCTCCGACCTGGCTCTGCCTCGGGGCAGGGGAGCTGGCAAGGGAGTGCTCTGGTCTCGCCTTGTCTTTTGGTGAGTGGAAAGCGGTGACTTCAACCCTGAGGCCCCTGCTGTGTGACCTGGGGGTCTCCCCAGTTCAGGGGAGAGAAGCAGCTCTATTTAGCCCCTTATTTGGGTCACACATGAGCTGGCTGGTTTTGCCCAGGAAGGAGCAATGCAAGGACCTGGGGGGTTGAGAGTCCATCCCTGAGAGCCGGACAAAAGAGTGCTAAGCTAAGAGCCACCAATCAGGGCTCCTTTTCTGGTTCTACCCCTGGGGGAGCTAGCTAACTTCAGGGGCTCTGGTGAGTGGGGCAGATGGACTGTTGGGTCCCTCTGCAGGCCTGCCAGCCTGTGAAATACCTCGGCCTACAAGCCCAGGTCACTGAGCATGCAAACCTCACAGAAGGGCCGGCTGAGGCGCTGGTTCTCCAGCTCTGCTGCCCAGTCACTGCACTTAGCTTGGGGTGCAGCCACAGACACTGCACTTAGCTTGGGGTGCAGCCACAGACACTGTACTTAACTTGGGGTACAGCCACAGACACTGCACTTAGCTTGGGGTGCAGCCACAGATGCAAGATCTCCAGGCGCCAGGCTCTGAGGGGAAGATTGGGGGTCCCACTTTGCTTTGGCTCATCTGGAGGAGACGCAGGGAGTGAGGGGGTGTGGCAGAAGAGAAAGCTGGGCGGGGCACACCTGCTGAAGTCCCCGCATGGGCCCATGGCTAATGGGCTAATGGGAGGATGGGGGAAAGTTTTGCTTCTCCCAAGGCCACGTCCCTGGCTGCAGAGCAGCTGAGTGTAATTCCAAAAAACCAAATTAGTAACTCAGGACCACAAGGAGGCCAAGAGAGAAGAGAAGGGACTTGCCCGACACCACACAGCTAGTGAGGGACTGACTGGGATGGTGCCCAGGTCCCCACAACATGGCTTCAGAGTGACCCGTCCGGGCATTCCTGGAGTGGGTGGGCAAAAAAACCCAGATTGCCATTCTAGAGAAAAGTCAGAAAGAAAAAGGACAGATTGAATTTTCTGCAAAGAATATCTTGCCCGTTTAATGGGAATCAAAATTTCATCCAAAACTGATCGTGAAATGTCCCTTTCTTCAGCTGCCACTCAGTATGGTTTGGCACTCAGATGGCTTCCAGACCCTCTGGGCCTCTGCGTTTCTCCCCAGCCACTGCCTATCTCTTAACGCTTTCTATTGAGGCTCCTTGGCCAAGGAGACCCCGGAATTGTCAGGGGTCTGGTGTCCCCTGAGCCCCCCAGGAGGCCATAGCATGAAAGCCCTCATGGTCTCCCATCTCTGGCCTTGGCAGGTGCGGTTCCTGGAGCAGCAGAATAAGGTCCTGGAGACCAAATGGAACCTCCTGCAGGAGCATAAGATCACCAAAACCAACCTGGAGCCCATGTTTGAGGCCTACATCAACAACCTGAGGCGCCAGCTGGACTGCCTGGGAGGGGAGCGGTCAAGGTTGGAGATGGAGCTGAAGAACATGCAGGATGTGGTGGAGGACTTCAAGAACAAGTGAGTGGACCCTGAGCCAGCCTCCCAGAAAGGCCCCCCCACAGGCTCCTGGGGAAACTCTGCTCTTGGGAAGTGACCGGTTCAGTGGGGAAAGGAACACACGCTTAGGACGCCAAGGTAGAGTCAGAACTAGACATAAAGGCAGATGAAGAACTGGGGTCCTGCGGGCAAGAGCGGCGAGGCTGGGGAGGGGCTGATCACAGCTCACGCATGCACAAAGAGAGGGGTGCTCACCGCAGCGCTCTAAGTTTGAGAGTGCAACTGGCCACCCAAGCAACTCGAGCTAAGAACAAAACACATAGAATCTCACATTTGTTCAACTCAACTCCCCCTGCTGATTGACATGGTGCTCATGCACCCCCAGCCCCAAGACGGGGGTAACAAAGACAAAGAGACATATTTGCTGCCTTCTCTGTGGAACCACTCACACACTCACACACACACCCCACTAAACATCATAGCATGTGTGTGCCTGTCAGCATGAGCAATTGTCTTATTTGTATTATTTTCATCTAATTTTAATTATCTTGGTCCAAACATAATAAGTGACTTGATAAGGAACTTTCTAGTAAGAGTATAATGTAGTAAGAGTATAATGTAGTAAGAGTTTGGGCTTTAGAGCTGTGCCAGCATTAGCCACATATGACTACTTAAATGTAATTCATTAAAATTAAACATAATTTAAAATTCAACCCCTCACTCACACCAGCCACCTTCCAAGTGCTCCTTTGCAACATGTGGCGTTTCTGTCATCACAGAAGGGACTATTGGACAACACCACAGAATCTAGTCAGTGGATTTAGAATCTTGGCTGAACCATACTAGCTAACCTAAGGAAAACTAACCTCTCTAAGCTCCAGCTCCTCCTTCTGCTAAAGAGATATATTAATAGTTTCACTTCATGGTGGGGGGAGGGATTGAGAATATTATATTAAAACTTGCATGTAAAATACTTGGTATGGTGCCCAGTGCCAGGTACACAGTAAGTTGCTAATACATGCTAGCAATTTTTGTTGTGTTGCTAATTAGGTATACATGTGTATTGATGCAGATAGACAAAAGAAGCAAGTGCAGATATTAAATTTTCTGTGCATACATGGAATAACAATTTTCAATCCAAGAAGGCTTCTTGGAGGAGGAGGCAAATATTCAAGGTAAAGAAGGAAAGAGGCCCAGGGAGTGAGCTCCTAGTTAGCGGACCTGTCTCTGCTGCAGGGCATTAAGTGGCTTGGACACAGTCACATGATATTTGGCACCTGGTACATGTTCAGATTTTTTGACAGACACTGCAAGGAATCGATAAAGAAAGCCACTTCAGTTTTCCCAGAAAATCTGGGAGGAGACAATACTAAAGTTCAGTGGCAAGCACCATCCTAGTGGACTACAGAGGCAGTATAAGCGCAGGGCGGAATCTGTTATACACACAATGGGGACAGCACTTTGTAGCGTTCAAAGAACAGTGACATTGGTGGGAAGGTCACAAAACTCAAACCACACCCCCCCCCCCCCCCAGAGCAGCTGAGGGCTGAGATGCCTTGAGCTTCGGGAGGCTGGGTGGGAACGGGTCACCTAGAGAAGTGAAGCTTCCTTCCCAGAGGCCCGTGAGCAGGGACACACCTGCATGGACCCCTCAGCGCAGAAGGGGAGGGGGTATTTATAGGAGCACTGAAGCAAGAGTCACCAAGCGGGGCTCCTGTTGGCACAGCTGAGAACAGAAGAACCTGACAACACGAGGGCACCAGGCCAGGCTGGGACCGCCCCCCTGACGCTGACTCCAGGCTCCTCCCCTCACCTGCATTTGAGTGAGGACAGGACCACGGAGTGAAAAGGGAAACTGGGTCAAAGAGGACGCAGGCATGCCCCTCTAGGGTGTCTAGGGACAAGAGGGGAGAAGAGCAACCTCGGAAAGAGCGAGGGCTGCTCTGCTCGGTTGTTGACTGGGGTTTTGGTTTAGCTGGGCAGAGATGGCTACTGGATTGATCTGGGATCTGGGGTGGGGCGGGGGGTGCCTGTGTCGCAGCAATTTTCCAAGGCCGCTCTGGAGAGCCACCGCGTCTCCTCCCCTACATTCCCTGCTATCTGACCTCACTTCCAGAAACCCCGCTCCTCACACGCCCCTCTGCATCCTTCCCGCAGGTATGAGGAAGAGATCAACAGACGCACAGCGGCGGAGAATGAGTTCGTGATGCTCAAGAAGGTGAGGAGGCGGGATGCTCCCTCCCGACCCCTGGTGCAGGCAGCCTCAGGAGTGGCCGCTGCCGCTGAAGCTGGGACCTCGCTCCCAAGGCTTATATGCAAATCTGTGCAACCACCTGGAAGCAGGTTTTCCTTTAGAAGTGAGGAAACTGAGGCTCTGAGAGGTTAAGGAAGTTGCCTAGTGTGACCCAGGTCAGCAGAAGTGAGTCTGGATTCAGGACGCCAAGTTCAAGCTGCAAATCACTCCCCAGCCCTCCCTGGGGGAGCCCAGTGCAGAGAGAGGCGTGGCAAAGAGGCCTTGGCCCGCTGAGTGTGTGGGGCGTCCCACCAGGCTCAGGAAGGTGGGGGCAGGACAGGGATTAGCTCCTGGAGTTATGGGCCACCCTGCTTATTGGGGACTGGCAGCAGGAGGGGCACAGGAGCTCTTCCCAGTCGATGAGCAGACAGGCGTTTCCCTGACAGCCCTGGCCTCACAGTTTGGACCCCTGCAAGTTTACCCCATAACCTAGAATACAGAGCTGATGTTTTCCCGCTGAACCCTGGCCTGAGGGCCTGGTCGCCCAAGCAGGCAACACTGTGGTGACAGCATGTTATTTATGTCCCCAGGACGTGGACGCCGCCTACATGAACAAGGTGGAGCTGGAGGCCAAGGTGGAAGCCTTAATGGATGAGATCAACTTCCTGAGAGCTTTCTTTGAGGCGGTAAAGAGAGGGGCTGGTGGCTGGGCGGGGCTCATATGGGCATGGTGTCAGCTGCCTCCTTCCCGGGTCTTCTTTCTGCACATCACCCTCACCCCCAGCTAAAATTCACAGAGCAGGTACAGTCTCCCCACCTCAGGAATAAATGAGGTGCCCTAGGGCAGCTGTTGGGTCAGGCCAGGTAGGAAGTTCAACCTTGACCACCTGGACCAAGCATGCAGTGCTGGTCAGACAAAAAGAAAAAACTGGCTGTTGCAGGATTTTGCATGGTTTCCATTAGCAATCTGGGCCACTTGGCTCACCCAGGTGCGTTCACCTGCTGTTCTCCTGGAGTGACTGCAGGTGACTCTGTTACACGGGTAGCATGGTGAGAGGCACCACTGCCTGCTCCGTGCAGACAGTGGTGACACGTTTGACACGTTTGACAGCACCTCGTGTGCCAGCCGCTGCTCTGAGTGATTCTGAAAAGTGGTCAGGGACGAGTTCATTGTGGCTTTACTGCTTCAGAAACCACCAGATCCGGACATGAAGTTGTTCAAGCCTCACACAAAGCACCTGAAGAGTGACTGGTCACTCTGAGATGCTCTCCCAGCTGCTGGCCAGATCCAAGACCTGAATTTTTGGTCCCCTTTCTGCTGTTTTGAGCCAGTTTCCATTAGCAGTACCTGAGGAGCAGGGAGGAACAAAGCTGGAAATGGGGCTGGATTGGAGCAGGGATTTCTGGTTCCTTCTGACTCAATTTCCTTTCACAAGATATCTTTATTCGGTGTGAAAGACTGTGTTTTCTCAGAACAGGAGACAAGACAGTGCTGCCGGGTCACAGCAGTGTGCATTACCTTGTTATCATTGTGCCTTCTGGAAAATTCTGGTTACAGTTCCTGCTGCTCTCTGGGTGTTGGGAAGCTGATGACAAAGAACCAGTGTAAACTCGGTGACTCTCTAATATCCTTCCTGGCGCTTTCAGGCCTAAGTAATATGTTTCCCTGTGCAAGTGAGGCTCCCTATGTCAGAAAGGGAGTACCTGCTAGTGCCCCAACATACACTCATGTACACACCCACACTCAAGCGCACACAAGGGCCCTGCTTCAGCTACCATGTGGGCCCCTTCACAGGAGCTGGCTCAGCTTCAGGCTCAGATCTCTGAGACCTCCGTGATCCTCTCCATGGACAACAACCGCAAGCTGGACCTGGACAGCATCATCAACGAGGTCAAGGCCCAGTACGAGGACATCGCCAACCGCAGCCGGGCCGAGGCTGAGTCCTGGTACCAGAGCAAGGTGAGGTGTCGAGGTCAAGTTATATAAAACAATAAGAGAATGGGAATTTCAAAGACAAATTAGGTAAGAGCCTTATCTCTTAGGTGTCCAGTCTGATGGGGTTGGAGGATCTGAGTTCAGCTCGGGGCTTGCCCTCTGACCTGAGTGCTCCTCAGGCAGCACCCACAGGACCTGGGGGAAAGTCTGACAAAGATGGGAGGTGGTCAGCCCTCCTGCCAGGAGGAGGATGGACATGCCTCCAATGCTCTGTGGAAGAGAGATGCGGGACGGCTGGACAGCACTGGCCATCAGTGCTGGCAGGAGCCAGAGAGTCAGGGTGGGAACAAAAAGGGGCTTTATGCTCCTGGATCCAGAGAAGAGAGCTGGGACTGGCCGGGGCAGAGAGGCTGGAGGGCGAGGGCTGGATGTGGGTCACAGAGTAAGGTTTTCCCAGTTAGGCCAAGCACTCTGAGCGGGGGGATATAAGATGGGGAGCCAGGAAAACAAATATGGAAGAGCTTAAAAAGTAAGGAGTGACAGCAACCCCAGTCTGATGCTGAGATTGTGAGGCTGAGACGCCTGGGACAGAGAGCGAGGGAAGACTCGATCCAGGCAGAAGGGTCTGGCTATGGGGTGGCGCCCAGGGACAAGGAGACTGTGGGCAGAGCCAAGAGGCAATGCGGATGGATAGGATGGGCACTCCAGGCAGTGTATGGGAAGACTGCCGGGCCCTGGAAGCCGCTGCCTGACTGTCCCACCCTCCCGCTTCTCCGTCCCCCCAGTACGAGGAGCTGCAGCGGTCTGCCGGCCAGCACGGGGACGACCTCCGCACCACCAAGATGGAGATCTCCGAGCTGAACCGGATGATCCAGAGACTGCGCTCTGAGATTGACAACCTGAAGAAGCAGGTGAGACTGAGCTCCCAGGGTCATCCCAACCATGCCCCTGTGCCCAGGCAGACCTGGGTCTGGTCCAAACTCAGCCCATGCAGAGAGAGGCCTCCCCAGAGAAGCGACTGTGCAGGACTGTAAATGTCCACCTGCCCCGCCAGGGATGTCAGGACCTTCCTGAGACCCACCCACACCATCCGCTCTAGGAAATGTCTGTCCCCTGGAGGCAGCACCTTGACTTGTTTATGTCCTTCCTATCCAGAGTTCAGCTTTGAAAAAGGACCGCTCCCCCCCGCCCCCCCCCCCAATCATATGCTCTCTCCTGGCTAAACCTCAAATTATCCAAGGGGAGGAGTGGTCAATCTTTATTTTTAATGATGATGGCGCTCCAGTCTCTTGTGCATGAAATCTACTTCAGGAAACTCTTCCACAGTTTTTACATAAAGTCCACATTTTATTGTATTCTCTGCACGTTATTTCACAAGCCCCCTGTCCCCCTGGCAGTGCTCTACGATCCAGGCCTCCATCGCTGACGCCGAGCAACGCGGGGAGATGGCTCTCAAGGATGCCAGGAGCAAACTGGCTGAGCTGGAGGACGCCCTGCAGAAGGCCAAGCAGGACATGGCCCGGATGCTACGCGAGTATCAGGAGCTCATGAACGTGAAGCTGGCCCTCGACATGGAGATCGCCACCTACAGGAAGCTGCTGGAGGGCGAGGAGTGCAGGTGGGCACCTCTCCCAGAGGCATCGGAGCACTAGTGCAATGCCTCAAGGCCCAGAGAGAAATGCCAAGGGCAGGAACGGGGTTGAAACGCAAATGTCCCACCCCATCCCTGTTAGACCCAGGGCCGGGGACCAGGCTGAAGTGTCAGGAGTGGTAGTCCCTGAAAGGTGGCCACAGGGCCATTTCTGTCCAGGCCCCACGGCAAATGAGGCACACTTGGGGCAAGCCTCCGGCATCCCAAGTTTGCCCAGAGAGACCTACAGTCGCACTACCTAGTTAGCAGGGCCCCTCTCCCCACTTCTCCGTATATTTTGACTAGACCTTCTTCTAGAAGAATCCAAGACTCACATTAGCTTCCTGATATTAATGAGGTAAATGAAAAGCCCTTTTAGCAGCACAGCGCCCCGCACGCAGTGAACACTCTGTGCTGCTGACTTTAAATACAAAGAGCCCAGGACATTCAGCTTCTCGGCAAATGAAATGTCTTTCTCTCCCTTACCTGCAACAGACTCACTGGAGAAGGTGTTGGACCCGTGAACATCTGTGAGTAAATATCTTGGGGTGAGGGAGGAAAGGGAGGTCATAGACAAGAGGGAAGCTAAGAGGGTCACTAACAAGGATTTGGTGTCAAGAGAGACTGATTTTGACCCCCTAACCCCCAGGGCTGGTCCCACTGGGGTCCTGGGGTCAGATGCCCATCCTGGCCCCAGACCTCAGGACAAGAGCAATAGCCCCCAGCCTGACAGCTGACTTCTCAGCTAGTTTGGACAGGAATTCAAACTAAAACAACTAACAAGTGGCTAATAAACAGGCTAAATGTAGAGAACAAATTTATCATGGAAGTAAAACCATCCGACAGGCAGAGCATAGACCGGCCTGGCTTGGCCGTTACTCAGGAAGAATCAAGCCCACAGGACGGTGTAGCAGGGCTGAGGGGCGGTTAAAAAGCTTGGCTTCAGGGGGCATTCAGGGAGCTCTGGTGACAAGCCACATGAGGGAGGCTGGAGAACCAGGATGGGGTCTCCATGTCCAAGGCAGAGGAATGCTCCATCTAGAGAAATGGACACCGAGAGAGGAGGCCAAAGAGGTGCCTTCAAATGCTTGGCAGGCCACACACAGCAGGTGGCACTGAGGCAGCGAGCTCCCGTCACTGAAGGCGTTTGAGCAGAAATTAAATGATGGCCTCTGGGTGGTGCAGAAGGGACTCCAGTTGGAATCCTAGGGGAAAGGTCCATTTGGATGGTTTCTGGGCCTCCTCCAATATGGGGGTCCACAGCCCCCTCACTGTCGGTGAGGCCTCACGCCCCTTCCCACATGAGAAGCGCAGGTGCAGGTGAGGGATGGCCGAGCACAGCAGCCTGAAGCCTTGGTTCCCAGCAGGTGTGATGTAGGGACCTGCCACTTGATCTTTGCCCCTCCATTTTTCCCTCTAAAAATGAAGGGGTGCACAGTGACCATAGTAATGGTGTCTTCCCAGGCCTGTTGCCATCAGTGTGGTCACAGCTGTGGAATTACTTTGAAAACTGCAAGGTCCTTGCAGACATGCACACTGAGACAGGGGGTGGGGCTGGGAGTCTGCCCTAGGAACCCTCTGTGGTCCTGGCCCCCAGGGCTGAGGAGTTTCCTGCTCCCTGAGGTGTGGCAGGAGCCTAAGGGCTCGGAAGCGGAGGTGCCTGCCAGCATGCCCTGTGCCTTCTCTCCCCAGCGGTGGTCTCCTCCTCCGGGGGCTCTGGCTACAGTGGGGGCGGCGGCTACAGCAGCACCGTCTGCTATGGCAGCGGCAGCAGCAGCGGCGGCGGCTTCAGCTCCAGTGGTGGCGGCTTCAGCTCCGGCGGGGGTGGCTTCAGCTCCACCAGCAGCCGGAACGTGGGCAGCAGCTCCAGCATACGCATCATGTCCAAGTCGTCCACCAAGAAGAGCTACAGGAGCTAGAGGGCCTCCACCGTGGCCACCGCCCCCGGGCCCCACTCCCCAGCCCCAAGGCCTGCCGCTTTGCTGACCACACCCCCACGCACAAAGCCAACAGCAGGAGGCCCAGAGAGCAGGCAGGGCTGTGAGTTCTAAGTGAGCTTGTCCGTCCCTCTGCCCTGACAGGTGCCCACAGAGGTGCTCACTCCCTCCTCAGCCAGAACTCCCGCAGGGTCCACAGGCACCCATGCCAGGCTTGCTGGGCCAGGGCCTGGCCAGGATGCAGCCTTCAGGAGCTCCCAGAAGAGGGGTGCAGTGGGATCTCCTCCTGTCTGACGCAGATCCTCTGCAGTCACAGTCCTTCACGAGGGTTTAAATTGACCTTGGTGACCAAAGAAGTGAAGTGTAGACAGGAGGTTTCGCGCGTATCCTTGGCCACCGCAGACAGAACACCTCCCGCAGCCCCTCAGACCAGGAATGGCCGCAAGCCCTGCCCACACCCTGCCCGCTGTGGCCCTCCAGCCCCCAGTCACTTCCCTGATGCCCCCAGCAGAGTATTTGAATGAGAAACCAACACTCTTCCAAAATAACGCCAATGCTTAATTATTCCTTCTAGAATGGGAAGATTTTAGTAAGAACCCAAAAGTCCCTTGTGGCCTGGGGAAGATGCATTGTTTGATAATTCACAGCCAAATTTCTTCCAAATCCGCCTCACGTAAGCCAGGATTAGAAAGACCCGCCCAACATAGGCCCTGGTGGCGAGGGGCGGCGGCAGGTGCGCCTGAGAGGCGTGGGAGCAGCGCAGTGCCAGCCACAGACCTGGTGGCCTCTTTCGGAACTGCCCTGGAGAAGCTTCCTGCCAAATCACCTGCAGGCTCAGACGTCTTTCCTTGAGCCAGCCCTGTCTCTGGAGAGCTTCCTTCCCTTTTCACCACGCCCTGTCCACTTTCTCTTTCACCCACTGCTTTTTGTGCTCATGCCCTCCAGCCCCTGAGACCCTCTCCTCCATCCCTCTGCTCTGAGAGCCTTTAGTGCTCCATCTCCTGCTCTACCCCTTTGAGGGTCTGTTTCCCCAGCCCCAACTAGAACAGGCACCAGCCTCCCTGTTCCCTAGGGATGGCAGGAGAGCAGACCCTGGTGTCCTCCCTACTCTGAGGGACGCTGCTGTCTGAGGAAGAGAGCAGAGGTGCGGTGCAGGGGAACGGGGCGGTGGGGCAGGCACGGCTCTTCCTGAGGCTGGCCTTCAGAGGGTAATTTCCAGGCAGTTGGAAGAGTGAACCCTCAGGACACCTGCCAGTGAGTTCAAGACCCAAATGTCTTCGAAGGGCAAGTGGCGACTGGCTGCACTCTGCTGAGGAGCAGGAAGAGCAGCTTCTTCACAGAAGGTCTCTATCCCTCCTGAGCTGCCTGCTCCCTAGGCCTGCTGTTTCCTGACATAGCTTCAATAAAATGGCACCGAGCTCTCTGGGTCTTGACTGTGTCCTACCTCACGCTTTGGGGAGACCCTAAGATCTGGGCTTCTCGGGAAATGCCTTCCACCCACAACAAATCCAGTGACCCTACTCTGGGTCCCCGAGCTCTGGCCCTGGGCTCCCGGGAGCCCCTTGTGGTCATAGAGACCATCCTCTGGTCTGGGAGTGGTGGGGATACCCCCAAGTCCACATCACTCATAGGGCTGCCCAACAGCTCACTCCGGCAGCCATCTGCTCTCCAGGGTGACTTCTCAGCATTGCACACCATCTCCTGGGCCCACCTCTGTGGCAAAATGAGGACCCTCCTTCCCTGACACTGAGAAAGGGGACCTGCCCTTCCTCTGCCTCCCATCTCTCCAGGTGTCCTGCTACACCTGTCACCTCCCTGAGCCCCACCTTGCCGAGCCAGCCCCACCTTGCTGACCCAAAGTCACAACTACAAAGGGACACTTGAACTGAGAATTTCTGAGCACAGAAACATTTGTGTTTCAGTCTGCTGGGGAAACTGAGGACAGAGGAGCCATAATGCATATTGGCATAGGATCCCCAATTCCTATCCTGGGCTTCTCTCCATGGTAAGTTTGGAGAGAAAAGGACAGAAACACCTCCTGTCACGGACAAGCTGTGTGACTTCAGGCAGTTTCTTAACTGCTCTGCTCCCCACTTACCTTAGTCGTGAAATGGAAATGACACGTTGGTGTCCTTGAAAAACTAAATGAAATAATGGGTGTAAAGAACTCATGGTCCAGCACATAGTAAGCCCACAGTCAGTGTTCCCAGTATTATTACCATGGCCTTGATTTTGACCTGGAAAAGTCCTAGTGCAGAAGGGAGAGACCAGCCAGCCACGACAGAGGCTGCACTGAAGGGACTGCCCGGGGGAGGGTGAGCAGATCCAGAGAGTCTGACCTGGGGGACTGGGGAGGAAGTCTGAACCCCGCATCTACCTGAACTGTTCCTGAGAGCAACAATGGTCCCCACAAATGTACTCAGGCCAAGCTGGCTGTGTCAACCTCAGAGAGCTTCTGGATGGGAAGAAAGGGAACAGAGAGGGGGAACCCAGACCTAATGGTTGAAATCAACACTTGTTTGGAGGCCCAAATTGTCAAGGAGAGGATCCTTTCACACACACCCCGCCCCACGCACAAGCTTTCTCCTCTTGAGTCTATATCTGGAAACCTCTTCCGTCTTGGAGCCGTAGTGGGCGGGGGGGGCGGGGGGAGCCAAGCCAGTGCCAGGACCTCACTGGGCTGAGGGCAGGGAGGGTCCAGCCTGCTTAGGGAGGCTTAGCCCACCTCATAGTCTTCTTTTCTGGAAAATTCTAGGGCCCTCTAGGATCCCAGGGATCCTAGGGGCTGGAACACCTTCAAAAACATAAAAAGAGCCTTGGGAGAGAAAACAGCCTCAAGCGCATCCAATTGGCCTCTAATCCCAGGCCAGCCGGGATGTATAATTCATGCCCCCTCTCCCGTGGAATGGCATAAGGCCCCAACTCTCCCTTTCCTGGGGGCCGAGTCGCTGAGTACACCCAGCATATCTGTCCGGTCGGCCCCTTTCATCACCCCCATAAACAAGGAAGGAGGACAATTGGGGTTTTTATAGGACCCACCAGCACCGACCATTGGCTCCTTCTCTTTGCTCTTTGCTACCCTAATTATCGACCCTGGTACTTAGCAGTTGCCAATATCCCAAGCTCATAAAACTGATTTAATGGCGATTTGGAGTTTGACCCAGCTCAGTCCCCCGTCCCCTTCAGATAAAAGGTGGAGGCCGAGCCGACTTGATAACTCCAGTCCCTGCCAGGGCCCCGTCTCTCTGCCTCCCTCTCCTGCCATGTCGTGCCGCAACTTCCAGCAGGCCTCCAGATGTGGGGGCCAGAGCTTCAGCTCCTGCTCGGCGATCCTGCCCCGGACAGTCACGCACTACGCAGTGAGCAAGGGGCTGTACCGGCCTGCGGCCGGAGCGGGCCTCCGAGCCCTGGGCTGCCTCGGTTCAAGGAGCCTGTGTAATGTGGGCTTCGGGAGGCCCCGGGTGGCCTCCAGGTGTGGGCTGCCTGGCTTCGGGTACAGAGTGGGGGCCACCTGTGGCCCTGCTGCCTGCATCACCCCTGTTACCATAAACGAGAGCCTGCTGGTTCCGCTGGACCTGGAGATCGACCCGACCGTGCAGAGGGTGAAGCGGGACGAGAAGGAGCAGATCAAGTGCCTCAATAACCGCTTTGTGTCCTTCATCAACAAGGTAAGAGGCCAGCAGCGGTCCAGGGCGTGGGGTGCAGAGAAAATCCTTGGGTGTGGTCCAGGGGACCTGGGAGAGATGGACAATAGAGACCACGGCTGATAAGCTGCCTCCTCTGTGCCCCACAACGACTTGCCGTTGAAAGCTAGTTAGATGGGGCTCAGCAGTAAACATTCCTGTTTGTCAGTCCTACGTTTTTGAATATATCATCTCTTTCTGGATGCTATCTGCTAGAATCCACCGGGGTGATGCACAGCCAGACAACCAGGGGAATTTCCAGAGGCATAATAGATACTGAAAGGAACAAGCAAATAGGCAGAGGACTTCTGAGGAGGCCATAACTGCAGGGCTGCCTTCCTGGTGCCGAGCTGGGGCAAGACCCTGGCCCAGAGACGGGATGGGTGTTATGACCTGCAATTTTCCATCAGCCGAGGCCTAGAATGGTGTATGTGGGGGGGGGTTCAGTCAGAGCAGGGGGCACAGGTGGCATTGACCAAAGTCTTACATCTGTCAATCCCAGAGGTTCAGATCTGAAAGGCTGCAGGGAAGGGTGAAGAGCCACCATCAGGGCCGTCACTCTCAGCCACCTCTAGACCTGTTTCCACACCCCCGGGGTCTTGGAGGGAGCAGGATTCTGGCCAAGGGCTGAGCCAATGTTTCTGGTGTCCAGAAGTTTTTGGGCAAAGAGTCAGAAGCCCACTGACGGGGGTCGGTTCCTCTCTGACTGTTACCCCAAAGCCCATTCATTGCTCAGCTTCGGTGACCCTGCCGCCTGGGGCAGGCGTTGTGCAGAGAATGGCGGGAGAGTCAGAGGAGGCAACATATGCAAACGTGATCCACAAAGGCACTGGTTTAGTAAGTGGGGACTGTTTCAACTGCGGTTTTATTTTTAAATCTCATGAAGTTCCAATTGTAAAGTCATCCCTCGACGTGGCCTCCATCCATCACATCCCACCACCTCCTGTGATGTGGCTGCAGACCTCACTTCCTCCAGAATTTTCTTAAGAGACAGCACATGTCATAGGGAAGTCCCGAGCCGGCGAGGACTAGGGAGCATGTCCCCTCGGCCGGTGCCTCCTGTAGCAGACCGTCAGCAACTCAGCCTTTCCTAATCTTGGTGCCCAAGGCAGGAGAAATGGGGGGCAGCAGTAATGGGGGCTGTTTTTGGACCCAGCCAGGCAGGTTGAAAAGAACTCGAGTCCTAGCACAAAGCCCCTGACCTGAGCTCCCTCTGCTGTAATTAAAAAGAGGCCCAGATTCTGGGTACAGCCTTACAGCACGGAGATTTTCAAAGTGCTTCCACGCACAATCCCAAGAGGGAGCTTTAAGAAACCAGTGAGGCTTGGAGGGACGGATGGCTTGGTCCCATTACAAGGCCAGCAGGAGACAGGCAGGCCAGCAGGGCTAGGAGGAGGGCCTGCCCAGACTTCTCCAGGTGATGCTCTTTCCACGACAATGTGTACCCCAGCAGGGTGACAAAGAGACCCAGCCACTCAGGGCCCCTAGTCTTTGTAAACCCCAACCATTGCTGAGGGGTGTTGAGAAAGAGCATGGACTTGCTCCACGGCCCCCACCACCGTTCACCCTCCCCAACCACGGTGCCCCGGCCCCCGCTGCCATGACATCCACTCTTGGGGCAGGTCCGCTTCCTCGAGCAAAAGAACAAGCTCCTGGAGACCAAGTGGAACTTCATGCAGCAGCAGAGGTGCTGCCAGAGCAACATGGAGCCTCTCTTCGAGACCTACATCGGCGCCCTGCGCAGGCAGCTGGACTGCGTGGCCGGGGACCGCACCCGGCTGGAGGCCGAGCTCTGCAGCCTCCAGAACTCCCTGGAGGCCTACAAGAAAAAGTGAGTCTGCTCAGCCTCCACCCCCTGGGGGGACCGGGGTGAGCTGCCCAAATATGCTGGACCTCAGGTTCCCCTCTATAAAATGGGGACTTGAAAACTTGGTTCTATTCGTGGTAAAGTAACTAGGGGGGAGACTGTAGGCCGAGCATCTAGGAGACTGGCTGTTTCTCCACCGGAGAAGCTCTGAAATCCTGTATTTCTCTTCCTCTCCCTCTTAGCATCTTGACGTCAAGTCTCCCAGATCCCACATTCTCTCTCACCCTTACTCTGGCCTCCCTCCTCTCACTCTGGGGGGTCCACCCTCCTCTCCCCATCAGCCCTCGGTCTCCTGCCCCCTCTCCCGGTTCTCCGTGATTAAGGCTGTGCAGCTGCTAGACTGGCCCTCCCGGGCCACTCCCAGAGCCCGGCTCACAGCGAGAGGAGGCAGTTGAGCGCACGACGATGAGGAGCTTCCAGGCTAACAGGTCCAGCGCTTGCGAGAGGCTGAGGCCCAAATAAATCATCCTGGGGGGTGCTGTTCAGGTCTAGGGCCCATGGGAGCTCACGTTGGGGGAGAGGATTGAGAGAGGTTGATAGAAACAACTAGAACATGCTGATGGCAAGAGTCCCCAGGGTGGCAGGTTGGTGAGGTGGGGCCACGAGGGACACAGTCATGCTGCCGGGTCAGCCACATGCCACTCAGAGCCAGCGCTCTGGGGGCGGCCCGGTCCTCACGGAGGGGGAGGAGGCCGGCTCCTCCTTACAATGCCCTGGTCCAGTAAGCACAGACCTCCATGCCCTCCCACCACAGCTGCACACCGCAGGGGACAGGAATCCCGAGACGTGGGATAGCAGGAGGGGCCCGGGAAGACTTACTGCCCTTTGGGGGGTGTGTGTGTGTGTGTGTGTGTATAATTTCCCATTATTTTTATTTATTTTTTATTTATATTTTTTAATTTTTTAACTTTACGTGTTTCTTACATCGTTTTTCATTTTTGCACAATATATGCATTTTCATCTTGGTTATGTTCGGGACCTTAAAGGGTATTTTACACCGATTGCTTCTTACTGAAAGTGGATTCCGGCACAGACCTGAGGGGAGGGGTAGGGACAGGTGACGAGGACGGGCCAGGCTGTGAAAAGTGAGAACAGACACCTCCAGCGACTGTGACGGGGGAGAGGTGCAGACACGGTGAGGGGCCAGGGAGGCGGAGGCCAGACCCCCGGGAGGAGCAGTGTCCCCCAGGGGGGACACGCAAGGTGGCATGGTTTGCAGCTCCAGATGAGGGCTTTGGATTTTGAAAGTGGAGCAAGAGGAGAGGGATGAGACCTAATGGACTGGAGCATTGCTAGCGACAGTGCCCGGGACACGGCAGCGCCTGGCCCCGGCCTCGTGCTTTGCAGATGTTAACTCATGTGACAGGTTAACTCACCACAGCCCTGTGAGGCATGACCAGCGTTCACCTCATTCTACAGATGATGAAACTGAGACAGAGAGGCCAAGTCACTTCCCCGAAGCCACACACTAGCACGTGACAGAGCCCGGGTTCGCCCAGGCAGGGGCTCCAGGGCCCGGAGCCGTGCTGCAGCAGAGTGAGGCTGGGAAAAGGAAGGATGAGCGTCAGGAAGCTCCGAGGAGCTTTTAATGGATCAATGTCGCTCTTCAAACTGAGTCATTAGGGCCAGACTAAAGCCCCTGACCCTGATTCCGCTGCCTTGGGGAGCAGTGAGTGGGCGAGGAGTTCCCGCGGAGCCTCCAGGAAATAGCTGGGCCAGCCGGGCAGCTGCATGGGCCTGGCAAAGTGGGTAATTGCTACCTCTGCATCTGAGCGGCAGGCTCGGAACTCCCCTGGAGTGGAGGGGCACGGGGTCAGCTGAGAGGTCAGTGACCGCAGCCGCCGCTCAGGACAACTGGGAAAAGACAACTGTGCCCGCAGCAGGCAGCCGACTTCTCTCCACCTCTCCAGAGGAAACCACTAGGTGGAGGGGACTTCCTTAGCAGCGAGACGGAATAAAGGCTGACCTGCAGAAGGACTTCTGCGGGATCCCCGACCGCAGGAACAGGCTCCTGAGGAGTGGGGGGGAGTAGCTTAGTGACTAAAGAGAGGCCCTGTTCGTGATCATCTGTCTTGAGTGGCTGGAGTAGAGATGCCCCCAACAGGCCGCACCTGGCGGCTTCTCTGGGTACAGTCAGCACCAGGCGCATCTGCCCCTTCCCTCAGGCCTGATACCAGGGTGCCTTCCGAACCCTGCAAGCTGGACTGAAGCTTTTTCTCCTACCTATTCCACCAGATACGAAGAGGAACTCTCCCTGCGACCTTGTGCTGAGAACGAGTTTGTTGCCTTGAAGAAGGTGAGGGAGAATGGCACTGGGGAGCAGGGGTGGCCCTGAGCTGGCCCTGCTGGCCTTGGGACACCCAGGCCCTCGGCGTGTCCAAGCGTGTCTGCTGCCCAAGCGTGTCTGCTGCCCCGAAACGCAGCCCGGAGCCCTTCAGGCTTCCAGATGTCCTGGGGAATGAGGAAGACCAGCCCCTGCAAGGGACAGTGGTTGACCTGGCCTCCGCCTCCCAACCCATTTGGCCCAATTCTGGTGAAGCTTGTGTCTGCCCCTGCACAGAAGCTGTAGATGTGACTAACACCAAATCAACAACCAAACAAAAACTCTGATTCAAATCCCAACAGATGAAAACAGTCTCGATGATTCCCCAGACAGATCTGATTGCTGGGTGTTCCTGCCCACAAAGTGAGCTCTGAGCAGGGGCATCTGAGGTTTCCTTAAACCCCACTCCCTTCAGATCCTTCCCCATCAGGGGGCCAGGCCACATATGGGGTCCCAGGGCTGAGGATCCTTCCTCATCCTTGGCCCTGTCACCCTTCACTTATGAACCTAAGTGAGGAAAGGTGGGTCTCACATCTGTCACCACCACTAGCTTGCCTGGAGGTGCCTGGGTTGGAGGGGGTGGGGAGGCTCAGGGACTTGCACATCCCTCCAACCCCAGGTTATGTTTCTGTCAATGTTCTGTCTGCAGGACGTGGACACGGCCTTCCTGATGAAGGCTGACCTGGAGACCAACGTAGAAGCTCTTGTCCAGGAGATCGACTTCCTGAAAGGCCTGTATGAGGAGGTAACTGCAGCCACGTGGCCCACCTAGCGATTGGTCAAGGGACAATGAGGTGGGGAAGCTCCTGTTGTGGGGAATATGTTTCAGGGCGTGACAACTTTAAAGTGAACAGATAAAGAAATCAGCATGGTTTTCAAGCAGTGAGATGCCCTGAAGCCAGCTCCCCAGACCTTGGCTATCAGTGGTCACTGTCCTGGGGGGTGAGGACAAGGTGCATGCTGGTAATTGAAAGGCCAGGACAGCTGTGACAAAGTCCTGTGTGAATCTGCTCTGAGAAGGTCAGAGGGCCTTGCCTTTTCTCTCCCCTACTGTTCTTCTCCCCTCTTTATCCTCCAAAAGCTCAATGTCCTCACCCCGCATTCCCTCCACAGGAGATCTGCCTGCTCCAGTCTCAGATCTCAGAGACCTCGGTCATTGTCAAGATGGACAACAGCCGGGAGCTGGACGTGGATGGCATCATTGCTGAGATCAAGGCCCAATATGACGAAATTGCCAGCCGCAGCAAAGCTGAAGCCGAGGCCTGGTACCAGTGCCGGGTGAGGCCTGGGTGGGGCAGGGGACCCCGAGCCCACATGCCCCCAGGAAGTGGGTGAGGAGATAATGAGGGCCCTGCCATGTCACAGCAATGGAGAGCCTCGTAAACCCCAAGCCCTGTTGTTTCTGCCAGGTCCCTGCCGAGCATGTGGGAGGGGACCCCACAGACAGCCCAGACCTGTCATCAGGGTGCCAGGGTGCCCCAGCTTTATTCACCCAGAGACTCACTGGAAGTGTTCCTTTAAGCAGTACTCAAGGAATAGTAATTGGCAATGATGGCAGAGAGGGCCCTGGGCTTCGAGGCGTGGGAGGTAGCTAATGTCATGGAGTGGTTCCTAATGGTGGAGCAGAAACAGTGATTAAGGCCGCCCAGACTTAGGTAATTAGGGGCTTACTGGGAGGGCAGCTGGTGTCCCCAAAGGCAATCTGACTTGACAAATTTAACAAATATTATCATCTCAGTCTTCACCCTATCTGTGGAAGACACTGTACATGATTTCACTCCCTCCCTCCCTCACTCAATGACTCTTTATGGAACCTCCATCATGGGCCAGGCACAGTGCTAGGCTGAGATCCAGCAGGGAGTGGAGCAGATAGCAAGACTTGCCTCATGTCACCTTCCTTCTGAAGGTGGGAGCAGGGAAGGGGAAGGCAAGAGACAAGACAAGAGAGTGCAGTGGGTGTATGTTAGCTGTAAGCTGCGCTATGGAGGAAACTAATGAGTCGTGGGACTCAGGACTTACCGAGGATGGCCCGGGCCTTACTGAGGTGCAGGGCAATGAACAGAGACTTGGCATCAGGCCATCCCTGTCCTGAAGGAGGTTGCAGGCCATGGGGAGAGAAACGAGCAATAGGCAGAGATGCGAGCTCCAGGAGGTGATTGCTAAGGCCAAGCAGCAGCTGAGGGGGCATGTGATGGATAGGCAGAGGCATCAGCCTTGGGTCCAGATCACCAAGGCCAAGCACAGCCCCGGGGGGGAGGGTGTGTCCCCCTGAGGGCCAGGGGAGCAGGACACTGATGTCTGACAGCAGGCGCCCAGTGCGTGGCCCCATGGAGAGCGGCTTGCAGAGAAAGGCTGGGGCAGATCACAGCAGACCTGGGAGCTGTGCTGAGTACTTGGCCCTTTTTGCTGAAGGCAATGGCTACCCTTGCCTAGGCAGCCCCCAAGTGAGGCTCAGCCCACTTTCTGGAGCTCCACAGCGGTGAAAGGTATCAGGCCCAGTGACCCAGTGCGGCCCATCCATAGCCAGTCTTCACCCTGGCTGCCTCCCACCCCCAGGTGCTTTGCACTATCAGTCAGGTGGGCTCTGGGAAAGCAACGTCAGTTTCCCCTCCTCCTAACACAAATTAATTGAATGCTATAATTGAGTTACAGATAATCCTCTATTATGTAAGAGTTGTAGTTGTCTGTGAAGATAAGAAATCAAAAAAAAAAAATTAAAACAAATTCCCTTTTAATTTTTTTCTCAAGTAACTTGAAGCCTAGGAATAGACTGCCCCAAATGCCCACAATTGATACAGAGGTCCTGTCACCACCAGGAACACAAAGTCCTTCGAGCTTTCTATTTGGTCCTTAGCACATTGTCTTAATCTTCATGGTTGCCTCGAGTCCCAAGGTGGCTGCCACTGCACCGATCTCATATGTTCATTCCAGGCAGGAAGAAGAGAGGGCAAAAGACACAGGCCCCCACTCCAGAGAGCTTTCCTTGAGGCCCTACCCAGCAATGGCCATAATCTCATTGAGACGAGGGTTGAGAAACATTCTCACCTGGCTCATTGCCAACCCCAAAGAAAAGCAGAGTTCTGATTGAAGAAGAGGGGAGTGGATATTAATTTAACAACTACAGCAATTACAAGCTTTCCCAGGAAAACCAAATCCTCAAAAGTGATTCATGCTTCTCTCTTCTTTGGCATTTTCTACGCAAAATGCTCTCATCCACCCAATGTAGAAAATCTAAACTTGGCTAATGTTTTAGAATCTATAACATGCAAATTTCTAGCATTTAGAAATGAGATTCAGTGTGCAAAGACTATTCGAAAAGTGCTAAGTCAAGGTAGGGAGTCACAACACACTCTGTTTTGATTGGACGAATGTTCCAGCCAGGGGCAGGCGGTTCTGTCCTCAGCCCTAGCTCGTTAGGTCTCCCAGGCTGAGCACAGAAACCCCCTCAACAAAAGGGAGGTGCCTTTGGTGACTCTGAGGCTCTGGGGCAGAGAGAAAAGAATGAGACTAAGAACAGCTGAACAGCGAGGAGGGCAGCTTGGCAGAGAATGTAATAGTCTGAAGGTTCAGGGCTGGGAGGTGTGGTGGGGATGAGAAGCAGCCCACAAAAGGACCCCCATGGACCAGAAATAGGAAGGGGGTGGGGCGCAGAACAAGCACAGGGACCCAGGGAGCCCCTGCTGCAGCGGGGCGCGGTGGGGAGGCTCCGGCCAGCACCGTGTCCTCAGAGGCGGGTGCCTGGAGTCCTGATCTCTCGGCGGTGCCCGCAGTACGAGGAGCTGAGGATGACAGCCGGGAACCACTGTGACAACCTCCGCAACCGCAAGAACGAAATCCTGGAGATGAACAAGCTGATCCAGCGGCTGCAGCAAGAGATCGAGAATGTCAAAGCTCAGGTGAGACCTTGCTCGGAGCCACTGTCTGGTCAAGCGGGACGGATGCACCCTCCCTTCCAGCACTGTCAAAGCAGGAATGAACTTGTGCTCCCCCCAGCCCCCCTCCCCCCAAGAGATAGCAAGTGTTGCTACAGCAGAAGCAGCGCACAGCAGGAGGGGCCATCTCAGGAAATGGTGAGGTCCCCAACAGAGGCATGGCGGCCTCGTGGCGAGGATGAAATAGGAAGGATGCTTCATTTAAAGGGAGATAGAAAGGAGGACCTCATGGTCCTCCCACCCCAAAGACTCTGTCCTTCTATGGCCCTGGAATTCAAGGTGACTCTGGAGGTGACTCTGGCTGAGCTTTTCTAAGAGGACACATGTCCCTTGAGGAGTTTCAGACAGGACTGGCCCCCAAGCCCAGGGGACCAGATGTCACAATCCTCGGGTGAAAACCACAGACTTGAAAGTGCACAAAGTCACAACTCTAGGGGAAACTCTTCCTCCTGTGTTTCTCTTTTACTCTCATGACTACACACACACAGCTCTTGTGACCCCGCCTGTGTGAGTGCTGGGGGGAGCTTCTCACACCAGGCAATTCTGTGACTCCAGATCAGTGTCCTACAATTGAACTCAGTTCTCAAGCTACCTACCTGGAGGGACATCAGGCCCCACAGGTGAGGTGCACATTCCCACAGCACCGCCCCAGTTCAGATGCCAAGCACAAGTCCAGGCTGTCACCTGAGGCTTCTGACCAATTGGCTACTAACAGGAATTTCCCATGAGCCACTCCTCAGATTCAATTGATTTGCTAGAGCAACTCACAGAACTCAGGAAACAGTTCACTTACTGTTTACAATTTATTACCAAAAGGTATAATAAAGGGTACAGAGGATGGAAGAGTTGCTGGGCAAGGTGTGTGGGGAGGGGCACGGAGCTCCTCGCCCCCCTCAGTGCCACCTCCCGGCCCCGCCTTGTGTTTACCAACCTCTCCCCAAAGCAGTGCTTTTGGAACTTTTATGGCGGCTGCATCACTGAGGCATCACACCGTGTCATTAACTCCATTCCCAGCCCGTCTCCCCTCTCTGCTGAATGGGAGGTGGCGGCGAAAACTGCAAGCTTCTAATTATGGCGTGGTCTTTCTGGTGACTAATCCCCGAGACCTACCGTATTAGAACAGGAGGAATTACTACCACTCAGAGAACACCAAGGGATTTAGGAGGCTGTGTCAGAGACTGGGATTAAATACCAAACATTAGAGTAAAAGCTGTTCCTGCTGTTCTTCTCACTTAGGAAATGCCAGGGTCTTAGGAGCCTGTGCCAGCAACTTGGGGCAGAGACCAACACATATTTTTTCTATTATCTTATAGCAGTCATGATCTCTGCTCTTCTCAGAGCCAGGGGTCCCCAGTAATGCCTTTCTGTGCCCTCTCTCCCAGCGCTGCAAGCTAGAGGGAGCCATAGCTGAAGCCGAGCAGCAGGGCGAGGCCGCCCTCAGCGACGCCAAGTGCAAGCTGGCAGGCCTGGAGGAGGCCCTGCAGAAGGCCAAGCAGGACATGGCCTGCCTGCTCAAGGAGTACCAGGAGGTGATGAACTCCAAGCTGGGCCTGGACATCGAGATCGCCACCTACAGGCGCCTGCTGGAGGGCGAGGAGCACAGGTGAGCTCCTGCGCCGGGGGTGGGCACCAGGTGTAGACGCCCTTCCTCTGCTCTGCTTGGTGCTGCTGCTGCTGTGCCCACCCTGTGGCCACTCCCCACCTGACACAGCAAGAATCTGCAGGGCCTCCTCGTGAACCTGGCCCTGCGCGAGCAAGAGGAGGGCAGCTGGGCACTTAATCCGCCTGGTTCTCTTGTGTTACCTTGTGTCTTCTCTTTCCTCCCCCCAGGCTGTGTGAAGGCATCGGGCCTGTGAATATCTGTGAGTAGAGGAGCAGTCCCCAAGGGGTCTTGGCAGCCGGTCAGCCCAACCTAGACAGACCCACCACCCAGCCAGGCCCCAGAGAAGGACTTCAGTCTGCTGGGAGCCCCTGCTCTGTGAAGACACCATCTCCCAGGCTAGCCAAGTCTCTGGAAGGCAGAAGTAGAATTAGATATGCAGTTGGCCCCAAGGTCTCAGGGCCCAGAAACTGCAAGGAACCCTACTGTCAAGGGGCCACTCCAGAAAGAAGGCCCTGAAGCAGGTTCCCAAGAGAGGGGAATGACGAGTGGGGTCCGAGAGAAGCAGAAATCAGGCCTGGCCTGGCCCCAGGTCTGGGGAAAGAGTAAAAGCACCAGGAGTAACAGCACTTTATGCGCTGGGTGGCAGACAGGGAAACCAGTAGCTGGGACAGGATGTTCTTAGAGGTGAGGGGCCGTGGGGTAGAGGGAGATGACACCCTTAGATCCGCGCAGTGCAAGGCCCCGAGCACCCCTTCCTGTTTCCACAGCTGTGAGCAGCTCCAAAGGCGCCATCCTGTATGAGCCATGTGTGGTCAGCACGCCCATGCTGAGGACCGAGTACTGCTCGGGGAGCACCAGTGTTGTCAAGAGCAGCGGGGGCTGCAGTGTGGTGGGCACCGGTGAACTCTACATTCCGTGGGAGGCCCAGGGGCTGCTGGGCTGCGGGAGTGGGCGGAGCTCCAGCATGAAGCTGGGGACCGGGGGCGGCTCCTCCTGCCACAAGTGTTAGCCCGAGTCCAGAGCTGGAGGCCCAGGCCCAGGGCACCAGACCCCAGCCTGGACATTGCGCCCCCCCCACCAGGGCTGAAGACAAGACTACTCTAAAACCCCACCTTCCTGTTTGGATGGCAGGCTCCCCTTGGCTTTGTCGGGGAGCTGCCTCTCAGGCCCTTCCATATCTTTAAGCATCACCTTCGACTGAGCTGCGTGCAGATCCTGAGTGAGGTTCCGGGGCTGGAGGCAGGATGTACAGGAGGAGAAGCCTCGCCTGCATCCCCTGGATTCTGACACTCGGGCCCGGGAGCGGCCAGGACAACGGCGATGGCCCCTGACCACTTCTCTTTCAGACCAGAAGCTGCAGTAGGCACATCGCAGTTCTGCTTTGTGGGTTATCCCATGGAAGTTTCCCCACGAAGCTAGTCTTCTCCACCCCTAGAGGGTCCCACCTCCCACACATCTGGTTCTCATGCACCTAAGAAAAGTGAACTTCTTTGAACATCCACCTAAAATATGCACTACTGCAAATGTCAAAAGCAGATACCCCAAAATCCATGCCTGAATTCCAAAAATATAGGATTGTTGGATAACTCAGGGCCTGCCAATGGTTCTCTCAGTCAGCACACAGAATAAAGTGGTTTTTGGGCAGTAGATTTACCTGCTCAGGTGTGTTGAAGTCATACTACGCAAATAAGTTTTCTTGCTGAACTCAGATCAGTGGCTGTTGGCAGGGAGATGCCGAAAACAAAGGCAAGAGGTCATGGATTAAATACTGGACAGAGGGCTAGCCAATAGTTGACATTACTCGCCCAATGGAATCCAGCCCACCCACCCCTCCCCTCTGTACATAACCACCCCTTCCTGCTCACTCTCCCTTTAGTTCCTTTTGCTTTGGGTCTGATATGAACGGATTCCCTAGCTACATTGATGTGGGGCTGCCCCAGCAGACTGGGAGACTCTGGCTCAGGGTCTGGGAGAAAGAAGGTGCTGAGTTGACCTCACCTCCCCAGAGGCTCTGCCCTAGCGCTGCCTCCCACAGAAGCCCCACCCACCCGGGGTCCAGTCTCTGCCTGGAGCCCTGGGCCTCTCTGTTTCCAATAAACTCACTCTTCCCAGGCTGCAAGAATCAGGACTATTCACCTTGCTCTGTGGGGTGCAATAAGAGGGGGTCCCGATGAGCAAGCTTTGGGGGCTGGAGGGCTTGGGCATGGACATGAAGGCTACAATACAAATGGGAAAGCCACATGCAAATGCTCTGCAAGCGGCCTGCGGAGGAAATGCTGACCGTACACATTGCCCTCAGAATGTGCCTATCACTTGCCACATTCAAAACCATGATCTGTTGCACAGAAGCCCCCTCATCACGTGCCCCCGCACAGGTACTAGAGAAAGTCTAGGTCCCCGTCGTGTCTGTATTTAGAGCCTCCATGCCCTGGGCACTCCCTCCCCATGCTGGACCAGGGCACAGGTCCTGGGGAAAGAGAGAAGTGGGCACAGCCCATGCGGGTGGATGGGTTGGTCTCCGCTCCCTCCTAGGGAGTACCAAGGCACAGAGCTGCATTCCATCTCAGCAGCTCCACCTTCTGCAAGGCCCCAGTCCTTTCCCTGCTGCCTCAATGAGCCACGATAATTCCCCACCACAACTGTCCCTGACACCTCACTCCTGAACACTGGGGCGTTCCCCTCCCCAGCCCCTATGGAGCATCCACCCTAATCCTGGGGGGCTCTCTGCCCCCCAAAGGAGTCATAAATCATGAGAGCCAAGAGAATGGGAGCAACAAGAAAAGGGAATGAATGATTAGGCCTGCACAGGGGGTCAGAGAAAGACTCCCAGAGAGACATTCAACAGGCTCTCTGCTGCAGATGCTCTGAGGCAGCATCTCAAAAGGACCTCTCCCTTCGCTTTTTCATTCAATAGCAATGAACTTGTCAGCCCCTGCTGTGGGTCAGGCCACACCTGAGCTGGTGACACAGTGAACAAGACAGACCCAGTCAGTGTGACTCACCCAGCAGGCTCAGGAGACACAGTTCCTGGAACCAGGCCAGGGGTGTAGCGAGATGCAGCCCCTTCGGAAGACAGCGGGCAGGCCACGGGATCTGGCTATTTCACTGCATTAGACCCACAAGAGGGGAAATACGTGGCCACACAGCTGTACGTGAATGTTCATAGCAGCACTATTCCCAGCAGGCAAAAGGTAGAAACAACCCAAATGCCCGTCATCGAATGAATGAGCAAAGGAAGTGTGGCCGGTCCACGCGATGGAATACCATTTGGCCATAAAAAAGGATGAAGGACTTTTACAGGCTACAAGTAGATGAATCTCAAAAATTTATGGCACGTAAAAGGAGCCGTTTGTCATGTTATTTTAGTCATATGGCAGTCCAGGATAGGACCTCTGGAGGGACAGAAAACCAGGGCGGCCACTTAGGAATGGAGGGAGGGACAGGTGGCCGTGGCAGGGGAAGTGTGGGGGTGACGGCTAAAGGTTCTTTGCGAGGGGATGAAAATGTTCTACAATTGACTGTGGTGATGGCTGCACACGCCTGTGGGTACTAAAACCACTGAATTGTACATTTTAAATGAGTGTGTTATGTAGTATGTGAACTATGACTCAATAAAGCAGACTGTTTTAAAAGAGGCCTTGACCCCTGTCCACACCTCAGGAGGCTTACAGCCTGCCAGGGAACACAGCCCTGGAACGGAAGATGGCAGATGTGGGGTGGCTGTCAAGGGGGACCCTCGAATCACGGACTCTGGGAAGCTCTCCAGGAGAAGGGACAGGCAAGCTGGATCCTGAGGACAGCGGTGCTTAGGCAGGAGCAGAAAGGCCATGGGCAGGTGTGAGCCGGAGCCTGTGACCCAGGGAAGGAGGGGAAGGACGGGAGGGCCTCAGAGCCTCTTCCCGCTGGAAGCCCTGGCACCCAGGCCCTGGAGCCAGCTGAGCTCCCTGCTGATTAATAGCTCAGAGCTCTGAAAACTGCAGGGGCACTGGCCTGGCATCAGCAAAAACAGAGATGCCCATCGACCACCCACCCCTGGGCCACAGGTGGCTACCTGATGTCCACCAGTATGAGGGAGAAGGCTCCCCCAACCATCCTGGGGCCTCCAGCCTGCCGGCCGACCTTGGGACTTCCCAGGGTGGCCAGGCCCCTGATGTGTGTCTGGTGGAGAAGGAGGCTGTCTGGAACCATCCACGAGGCACCACTCTTCCCACCAGCAGGAGCGCCCAGTTCAGTCCTGAACGTGAGCTTGGAGGCCTGGGCACGCCCCCTCCGGAACTTCCACTAAGGGGTCCCCTCAGCCGCCCAAGAGAGGAGATGGCCCAGGACAAGCAGGAGAAAGGTACCTCCTGGAAGTGGCCTGGCCGGTCATATTCCATTCACCTTTGCAAACATCTGAGCTCCCCTCCTGGGCCAGCCCAAGCCAGGTGTTGGCAGGACAGGGAGGTTGGCCCAGCCCCCTGCTGTGGGCCCGGTCCCTGCCTCACCGTGCTCCACTTGGAAACCCAAACCGTGGCCCCTTCCAGAGCGCCCCTGTGAGGACAGGTGGGAAGCCTGGGGAGGCTGGGGGACCACAGTGGAGCTCCTTGTTTTTCTGTGTCTCCCCCAAATGTCTCCCATTTCCTTGTCCCTTTTCTCCCCACGTGACCTTTCCTTGCCCCACCACCCTGACCCTCAGGTGCCCTTTGTCTCTGCCCCCAGAGACGCTTGTCTCACCCCAGCTTTTGTCATCCCAGGCCCCCCTACAGTCACAGGACCCCACACCCAACCCCGGCTGGGACTGGGGGAAATAGCTACAGAAACTGTGAGCAGAAACGAGGGCGCTGGGCTCTGAGTCTTACAGGAAAAAGACTGCACCCCACAGCCAGCCCAGCACCTCAGTGCAATGCCTGGCACACTTCAGCACCCAAGAAAAGTTTGGGGGAGCAAAACAACCAGTACACTTATGACTGCAGACAGGGGATCGCTGTGTGGGAAATACGAGGGATTTGGATTAAACCTGAAAAAATCATCCTGTCTAGAAGGGGGGCAAGAGCCCAAAAAAAGGGGTACTTTATACCTCCTGGGAATTGTCTAGACGTCCCCGAAGTGTCATTACTCAGAGGCAAAGGGGCAGAGGGCCTGGCTGGGGGGGGCGCACAGCCCTCCCCGGTCCCCCCTGTGCACCTGGGACTCCTCGGTCCCTGCCCAGCAGGGGCAGGTCTCGGCAGGAGCGCCTCCCGCAAGCGCCTCTTTCCAGCACGAACTTGTCCCAGGGCAAAACAGAAACTCTCAGAAGAAGGCGGCTTTTAGCAAAGCTTCCCGGCACCTGGGACTTCCCTGTGCCCTCCCCCCTCCCACGCCGACAGGAGAGGCTCACGGGGCTCACCAGGCCCGGGTTCACAGACCGCGCGCTGAGCCAACCAGGCCTCGCCCACCCCCGCCCTCCCTCTCCCCACTTCCCCGGTCAGCAGTTCTCCCTCCTCCCCACTCCGCAGATAGCATCCCGATGAGCCAGCAGCCGCCCTGGCCCCGGCGGGGCTGGCCCGGCAGATCTGGGGATTACATGGAGGCCAACTGATGACAGGAAGAAGAAACTGTCACGGCAGCAAAACCTTCAGCCCCGCGTTTCCAGGGCAACTCCTCCCCTTCTCCCCACCTGCCACCCCTCACTAAGGGCTGAGGCCGGCGTTCCGCATCATCTGGCGAAATGATGCCTCAGAACCAGAGACGGAAGGCGGCACAGCTCATCCCAGAGCAGGGTGGTGCCTGACTGCCCCAGTTACCCCCACCCGGCCTGCCTGCTGCTGGGGCTGAGGGACGCTGCACCCGGGAGGGGACAGCCCCAGCCCCCCCAAACCCCGGCACGGGGTGCCACAGCCTCTGGTGGGGGAAGGAGGTGGGGTGCCGGGCGGGAGCAGGGTGACCGCTCGGAAGTGAAGGGAGGATTGTGCCAGCGAGGAATGGGCAGAGAGGAAAAGAGAGGCGAGGTTGGGGGAGGAAGGCCGGAGAAAGAAGGGGGAAGCGGAGCAGGAAATAAACAGGTGATCGCAAGAGCAGCCGGGCCCCCACGGTGCACACCCCACTATTATCACATGGAACCCTGAAATTCTGTGAAGTGGGTCTAACTCCGCTTCACGGGTGAGGGAACTGAGGCCTGGAGAGGTTGCCCGGGTCAGTGGCACGCGGGGCGGAGGAGGGATTGCTGCCCACTGCTGCTGGCCATGGCCAGAGCGCGGTGAGAATAAAAGCAAACTGACTTTGGGGTGTATTTTTTTTAAGTTGTGTTGTTTTTTTTAAGTTCTCTAAAGACGAGTGCCCATCCCTGCCTGCCCCCGGAGCAGATCCTGCCCCATTCTGTCCTCAGGGCACCACCGTCCTAGTTTACGTCTTGGCAGATGGCAGAACCACGACTGAACCCAGCCCAGCTAGAGCCAAGGCCTTGTCAAGCCTTCTGTCCGAGGGCAAACACGCCGGCTGGCGTTCTCTGCCTCCTGCCCTCTCCCTCCACCATCGCGGGCATCCTCGGCCCCTCCCCCATTTCTGGCTCCCCTTGTCTGGCCTTGGAAGAAGGAGCTGCCCTTTCTGCAAAGCCACCAGCTGCACACCCAGAGGGCCAGAGCTGGTTGGTTCCCCTGTGAGCTCTTGAATTCCTGTGCCACAGTCACCTCCAGAGCCATTCCTGCCAGTTTTGAAGCCAGGAGTCTCCTCTTCCTAAAATAGTTACAAAACTCAAGCGCTGGACTCCTTTGCTCTTTACTCCCTGTTCCCTCCTCCCCTCTCCCACTTGCTTTTCATCTCTGTGGTGTCTTCACCCATTCAAGAAAACTAGACAGCATGACCACCTTGTGCCCTGCTGGACACCGGGACACACAGGAGAATGAGCCCCCGAGTGCCCGCCTCCGTGAACTTGTATGCCAGCCCGGAGGCAGAGGGGCCAGTTGGGAGAATGAGCCAACAGACCCCCGTGACGAGTGACAGATTTGGCCACCATGGTAGTGGTGGGAACAGTGAGAAGTCATAGGAATCCAGCTATATTTCAAAGGTAGGATTTTCCAGTGGATTAAATGTGGGATATGGGGGGATAAAACACAGGAATAAAAGGTGATTCCCAGATTTTTGGACTAAGCTACTACAGGAATTGATAAGCTGCCAAGTAGAATGCAATTGGGGAAGAGTTTGGGTCATCTTAAGATTGAGATGCCTATTTGATGTCCAAATAGAGATATGGATCCAAATGTACCTGTGTGGTATGGAGGGGAAGTCAGTGATTGATGGACGGAGAGCGCATCAAGTCATGAGACGGTACCATGTCCCCATATATGGAGAAAATGGGAATAGGGACGAGGGCTGAGCCCAAAGATGCTGCAGGTTGAGGACACCAGGAGAAACCGGTAAAAGACTGAAAAGAAGCATCCAGTACCATGGCAAGAAAATCAGGAGAATGTGGTGTCCGGAAATCAAAAGAAGAAAGTGTTTAAGGCGAGGCATTATAAAGTGCATCAATAAAGGTTAAATGAGGGTTGAGAACAAACCGCTAAATACAGCAACGCATAGGTCAGTGGAGACCGTCGCAGAAGTGTTCTTTTCTTTTCTACTTGTCCTTTTAGACACACATATACATGATAGTCAGTTCTAGGGAACATAGTAGTAAACTTGGAATAGAGGGGAAATTTCTCAACTTGATAAAGAATATCCACCAAAATACCTATAGCGAAATCATACTTGAAGCTTTCCCACAAAGATCAGGATAAAACAAGGTCATCTCTCACCAGTGTTTCTCAATATCACACTGGACATCCAAGCTAATGCAATAACACAAGAAAAGGAAATAAAAGGCATGTAGGTTTAGGAGAGAAGATTCGCCAGTAATTCATGACCCTAGACAGAGAGGACTAGTTAGTGTTTGGAGGGCTCAAACTCACGTGACTAACTTTCCACACAGACACACAGTCAAATTATGGGCACACTTTGGCCTCAAATTATACCACCAAAGTGTTGACTGGGGGGGCGGCTCAAGAGTTATCTCTCTCCCGCCCCATCCTGTCCTGCAATGGGGAGAGAAACTGCACTTTTGTTTTTTGGTTTTTTTTGGTTTTTTATCTTAGCACCAAGCACACCGCCTGGGGCAGAGTGGGCACTTGGCAGTTGCTGAATGAGCACATGAGTGAATGAATTTCCTTTGAGTTTCTCACACCAGACATGTGTTTACACTAACTCAAGTGAGCTTTGCCAAAGTTGACCTCTTTCTTACAGAAATAGCCAATCTAGATAATAGAACATAGATTAAATACTGCTCAAAGTTTTTAGACTATCCAATCAATCTACAGAGAGGCAAAAACTGTGTTCTCACCATATTCTTTCCTATTTGGAGGTGTGCAGACCCTGTATCTCTTCTGCACCCCACCCCCCACCTATTTAGAGGGCTCTATTTGTCTAATGCATCCTCTGCAAGTCTCACACTGGAGCATTACCAACCTAACTTTCGGGCAGTTCGCCACTCTTGCAGTGGAAAAAGTCTATTGGATTTATGACCAAAGCAAATTAACGTCCCCATAATGGCAATTGTGGTAAACTTATGGGAAAAATGGGACAATAATGTTTATGTGTTTATATGTTTTTAATGTTTATAGGTTTGATGGAAGAGGCCTGATCCCCGGGAGAATAGGTGTGTCTGAGATTGGCTCATTGTTAAGGAGGTTCTAGGCATGAACAGTTTCTGCTAACTACCCAAGCTCATAAATGCCTCCAAATGGCTTTTTCGTTTTTATGGGGCCAATCCTCAGAGCCCCACACACATAAAAGGGGTGAGAGGGATCCACTAGCCTCATCGGACTCCCAGCTCCAGTTCACCCCACTGTGCCATTCATTGCTGCTTTGCCTCCCCCGGGAAACCAGCATGTCTTGCCGCTCCTACCGCGTTAGCTCCGGCCGCCGGGTGGGCAACTTCAGCTCCTGCTCGGCAGTGACACCCCAGCACCTGAACCGCTTTCGGGCCAGCTCTGTCTCCTGCAGGAGTGGGCAAAGTTTCCGGGGCCACGGCGGCTTTGGCAGTCGGAGTGTCATGTCCTTTGGGTCCTGCTCGCCCCGGATGGCGGCCGTGGGCCCGCGGCCCCTCCACTGTGGAGCTGGCTTTGGTGCTGGCGGCGGGATGGCCTTTGGCTTTGGTGACGGCGCTTGTGCTGGTCTGGGGTTCGGGCCCGGCGGTGGCCTTGGCTATGGCTTTGGTGGCCCTGGCTTTGGCTACAGAGTTGGAGGAATTGGAGGCCCAGCAGCCCCCTGTATCACAGAGGTGACTGTTAACCAGAGCCTGCTGACTCCCCTCAACCTGGAGATTGACCCCAATGCCCAGAGAGTGAAGAGGGATGAGAAGGAGCAAATCAAGACTCTCAACAACAAATTTGCCTCCTTCATCGACAAGGTACTTTTGACAGCTGAACCTTTGGGCCTGGGATGATGAGCTAAAATGTATCGGGCCGCCTTTTCCCTTAAGAAGAATTGCCCAGGCCTTGGGACCGACCTTGACCTGGAAGGCACGGTGATGTGATTTCTGGGTAGATCTGGGGCAGAGCAAGGACAAGCCTCAGGAAACACTGCGGGGGGATAGATTCAAACAGCAGTTATGTCTTCTGGGGGAGCAGGAGATTCCAGCTAAATCTGAACGCATCTGGGCAAACTAAGACCTACCACCTAGTCACTTAGAAGTAGCTTCCAAGTAACAAAGGTTAGGACATGGACCAGATGTTGGTTACTACGTGGTTGAAGGTACTTTTGAAATCCTCATGCTCTTCCTGAGGTTTGTGTAGTTTCTGAGGCTGGGTGGTCACATCTGTTCATTCTTAAGAAAGGGGGGAGTGGAGTTGAGTCATTTTTTCATGCAAAAAAAGGTTCATATCTTTCATGTGTATGTCTATATTCAGCCAAGTTGCCTGAATTGAGGGAGAAATCAGGGAACCAGCATGGGGAGCTGCTGGTCTTTGGATTGATCAGGCTTAATGATGTGGAGCTGACACCCTACCCACCACGTCTCCATGGAGTGGGGTGCGCTGGTGTGCCTGAGAATGCTAACTCACCTCTGTGAGCCTCAGCTTCCTGGTCTCTGAAATGAGGGGATTAGAGCAAGTGACCTCTAAATTTTCCACCAGCTCTCCAAGCTCAGCTGAGGCACCATCTGGGGTGGCAGTAATAGCTTCTTACCTGAGAACTCCACCCCCCCACAGTGTACCTCCCACCCATAAGGATTTTACTCTGCTCCTCATTCTCTGCAGGGGGTGGCTGGCATGGGTTTTTAGAGAGAAGCAACCCCAACTTGGGCTGCAGAATCAGATTCCGCCTTCTGACGAGCTGGCTTCCACCTTCCCCAGAAGGTGAAAGGGGAAATGGTGCAAAAGTGCTTTCATTCCAAAGCCTCAGCTTGCAGCTAAATTTGACCGAGTGCGAGGATGCTCAGGCCTGCTCTCCAGCGCCTGCTGAGCTAGAGCAGGGATGAAAGTCAGCAGGGGACAGAGTGGCGCCAGCATGAAACTGAGAGCCATCTCGAGCTGTTACAGAACTGGGCACTGTGTAGGTCACACAGCACTTCAATTGCTATCTCCTTGCCCCTGTGGATTTAGGTGCGGTTCCTGGAACAGCAGAACAAGCTCCTTGAGACCAAGTGGAGCTTCCTGCAGCAGCAGAAATGTACGAAGAGCAACCTGGAGCCCCTCTTCGAGACTTACATCACCAACCTGAGGAGGCAGCTGGATGCAGTGACCGGTGACCGGGCCCGGCTCGAGGCCGAGAGGAACCACCTGCAGGATGTCCTTGAGGGTTTCAAGAAGAAGTGAGTGGCATCTGGGGGCTACACAGACTGGGGATGGGGAGGCACAAGCCCAGCTCAGATGCGAACAGCTGCTGAATTCAGGTTGCACGCTGGTTTCCACACCCAGCCTGGAGACAGGGACAGTGACAAGTAAGAGGGGAGGAGAGGCCCTCTGCGGGCCCCAGACGCCAGACACACTTGGGCACACTTGGGCACACTTGGGCATGGTCTACCCCAATCCCACCTGTGGGTGAGGTGCCCTCTGGCTTTCGAGAACAGTGCCCAGGTGCAGTAGCCAGTGGGTCCTGCTTCCTCTTAGACCAAGCGTGATGACCCTAGGTCTTTTCCAACAGAGGATCTGGAGACAAGGGGAGCCACTGGTTCCTAAAGGGTCTTGAGGACAGGACGAGTGGATGCTGACGCATAGTGGCAGCAGGGAGCCGCCCTCCGCAGGGCAGGACAGGGCCCCTGAGGGAGGGCCCCTGAGGAGCGGGGGCCATGGGCTCTCAGTTCAAAGCGCGAGCTCAGTCCCTTCATCCCTCCCACCCAGGTACGAAGAGGAGGCGGGATGCCGGAACAATGCTGAGAACGAGTTTGTGGCTCTGAAAAAGGTGAGTGAGAACCGTCATGCCAGTTTCACCTCTGTTCTCAGGACCCCCCTCCCAGAACCTGCCCCCGCAGCCTGGGGCATCCGAGTCTCCTCGCACAGAGTGGATCCCCCAGGTCACAGCAGTTTCCCTTTGGTTCTGATTTGGCCTCAGATTATTTAAGATCAGGTTTTCACGAAGCAGAGGTCTGTAGAGATTACCCAGATTCTCCTGCCTCTAAATCAGCATCCGAAAATGTCCGGCGTCTGGGAGCGAGCGCATGCCCTAACAAGAAGAACAATAATCACTAAGCTGCATTTCTACCCAAGGTCTTTACCATCCATCCCAAACCTCGCCTCAAGGCCTGGGGCCTTGGCCTGGACTCCACTCCCGAGGTGGGAACAGCGCAGGCAACAATCCTGTTATTCTTCTCTTGCATGCAGGATGTGGACACAGCTTTCTTAAATAAGTCTGACCTGGAGGCCAACGCGGATACCCTAACTCAGGACATTGACTTCTTAAAAGCCTTGTACATGGAGGTAAGGACTCATCCCTTCTGGGGCATCTAGGGGGGTCAGTGCTTGGTAGCTTCGTCTGCACAGGATGCTTTTCAATCTCTAGGGTCCCACATCTCTCCTCTCACTCAAACTACAAGCTCTGTGAGTTGCAGACAGTGAGGGTAGCAGGCTTCACAGCAGCCTGATCCAGGCCTATGAACACATCCCCATTGATCTGTCATCTGCCTCCTTGTTGGCCAATCCAAAGACTGGGGCCTAGAAGGGGCACTTCCTGCCTACTGATCAGAGAACGCAGGAAAACTGATAGGCCAGGAGATGTAGGAAAAAAGTATTTGGCCTAATTAGTCAAAGGAACTATCTTTTGTTCCATAAGTGGTCTATCTGTTCTGGAATAACCCAGCCAGGAAAGGCTGAAGAACATTCTGCCTGGACCCTCACTTTGCAGGCCAGTTCCAATTCAAGCTCTGGTTCTAGTTAAGATTTGAGATCTAGGAATTCCTAGAACACTATGTCCTAAAATAACATCAGCTCACAATGACTGGTGACCGACACAGTCACTTTGTGGATGTTCCGAAGAAAATTGTAAGTCCAGTCATGGCTTGCTCCCTTCCACCAAGTGTCTAGCCCCCCAAGGTTTTAATGTTCGTGTAACCAGGTCAGAGTGTTAAAGAGATGCCTCTGAGTTTCTAATAACGGTGTAAGGCAAGCTGAAATTGTTCTCAGTCATGTCTTTTTCTTTGCGGACACCATGGAGGGTCTGCCTGCCCTGAACCAATGAGCGCAGAATCTTGGCCACTGGAGGGACTCTGAGCCATCAGTCTTTCTGTTCCTCCCACACAGGAGATCCAGTTGCTGCAGTCACACATCTCAGACACTTCGGTCATTGTGAAGATGGACAACAGCCGGGACCTGAACCTCGATGGGATCATCTCGGATATCAAGGCCCAGTATGAGGAGATCGCCAGACGCAGCCGGGCTGACGCTGAGGCCTGGTACCAGACCAAAGTGAGCGGGGTTGTTGCAGGGGGCGGGTGTGGGCAGCCCATGTACAAGGTAACAGGCCCAGTGGGGGTCTGAGGCCCCAACTCAGGGAGGGTCTTGACTCAATCTCTGGACCTTCGGAACACCTCTTCTCCCACCCCCTTCTTCCCCAGTATGAGGAGATGCGGGTGACAGCTGGCCAGCACTGTGACAACCTGCGCAACACACGGGATGAGATCAACGAGCTGACCCGTGTGATCCAGAGGCTGAAGGCAGAGATCGAGCACGCCAAGGCTCAGGTGGGTGAAGGGAGGAAAGAAAGCCCCAGAGGGAGGAGAGGCAGGACCCTAAGCTTTGGGATCCCCAAGTCTGATGAGGTAAGAGAGTCCACCAGGACCTAGAAAGAGAAGAATGAAGGGATCGGTCCAGGAAGGCTTCCTGGAGGAGGAAAATATAGAAAGGAAAGAGAGTCTCCCAAATAGAAGCAAAGTCTTAGAGTGGCAGGCAAGGCAGAAAAATAAGTCTGTTCTGTGCATCCGTGGCTCTTGGAGCAACAGAATTCAGGAAGTGCAAACCAGTGGGGATGGAAGCTGAAGAAAAACAATGCTCCTCCCCCTGGTGACATTAATCTACAAGATCACTACTGCCTGGGAAAGCTGGACCCAGGGGCTCCATCCTGGCTTGGCACCAGGCTGTGTTCCCACCAGCGGGGAACTGTGTTTCTAGCCCCACCTGGGGAGCCCTGTCCAAAGCCCACTGCAAACTGCCCTCCCTGCAGCGGGCCAAGCTGGAGGCCGCCGTGGCCGAGGCAGAGCAGCAAGGCGAGGCTGCCCTCAACGACGCCAAATGCAAGCTGGCGGATCTGGAAGGTGCCCTGCAGCAGGCCAAGCAGGACATGACGCGGCAGCTGCGCGAGTACCAGGAGCTCATGAACGTGAAGCTCGGCCTGGACATCGAGATCGCCACCTACCGGCGGCTGCTGGAGGGCGAGGAGATCCGGTGAGTTCACCCAGAGCCGCAGGAGGGAATGAGGTCAGACTTAGGCATCTAGAAATTTAACTAGGAGGGGGGGCGGGAGGGGGCCCCGTGAATAATTGCTGAAATGACACTCTCGAGAGTGACATTCCTATTCTGCAAACATGAGTCAGGTTGCCCAGATGTGCTAGACCTGTGCTTCCTGAATGCAAGTTTGTGAACAGGATGCTCCAGAATCAGAGGGAGGCTTGCTTGCCAGTTAGTTTGTTTAAAATGATATTAATACATTTCCTCAAATATTTTAATTGAATAACTGAGGGTGGGATCTAGGAAACTCCCGGATGCTTGCACCGTCAGGGCTGAGAGCCGCTGGGCCGTTCATCTGATAGCAAGTAGGACTGCACAGTGAGGCTCAGGGACCAACGTGTGTCTTTCTCTCTCCAGGATCTGCGAAGGTGTTGGACCAGTAAATATATGTAAGAAACTTAAATCTTCCTCTCCACACACTTCTCTCCTGGGACTCTTCCGACTTCCCTTAACGTTGGAGTTAGGCGCCTGCGGCTGCGGGTGTGGGGAGCAGGGACCACAGACCCCTGCCCTGGGGGCATCTCCTAGGCTCAGGCCTGAGCTCTCCCCAGAACCTGCCTTACCAGAGCGAAGCAGTCACCAAGGATTGCAGGGTGCACTGGTGGGAGAGTGTTCTGGAAGTGGCCTTGTTCTTCAAGGGTAAAGGCCAGGGGAGAAACGGAAAGAGATGGACAGGCCTGAGCCAGGAAGTTCCCTTCCCCAGAGGGCAGGGGCTTGGCTGAGGCTGAGTGGACATCCCTGCAGCCACCAGAGTATTGGTCATGCCTGGAGCGCCTCGGGCACAGTGCTGGCCACTGCAGGCAGGGCACAGAGAAGGCGGCTGCAGTCCCTGCTGTCTAGAATGCTAACCTTCCTGAGGAGATGAGTCCTGGCCAAGCTCACCCTAATCCCCAAGGAGCCCTGGGGGCAGGCAAGCAGGGCATTGCTGTCTCCCTTTGCCCCCTTAGAGAAAATACCTGAATTGCCAGAAGTCAGTCAGTGATACAACCAGAATCGCAACCCCGGTTTCCGGCACCAAGTGCACGCTGGGCACAGAGGCACAGTGGAGCCCGTGCTGGCAAACATCTGGGGAATCAGCTGGACCCCTAATTTGATTTGAATGTTTGACATTAGTGGGGTCACAGCCTTCGAGTCAGTGAGCCAAGAGAAGGGGACAGTGGTGTGGGCTGGGTCGTCAACAGGGACCATTTCAACCCAGGCCACCTCCCCAGATGCCACCAGCCTTTGTTACCACCACCCCCATCCCCCAGCAGCCTTGCCCAGCAGGAGCCTGGAGGACTGAGCCCCGAGAGGGTGGCCTTGCTGACGCTGACTGTTTCTTCCTCCCGCAGCCGTGAGCAGCTCCCGGGGCGGCCTGGTGTGCGGGCCCGACGCCATGGTCGGCGGCTCGGCCCTCTCCCGCGGTGGGGTCTCCTACTCCAGCAGCAGCAGCAGCAGCGTCCGGTACGGCGGTGGCGCCTGCAGCTCCAGCCTGGGCGGGGGCTGCCGGGGGGGCTCGGTGCTGGTAGGCGAGGCCTGTGCCCCCAGCATGCCCTGCCCGCTGCCCACCGAGGGGGGCTTCAGCAGCTGCAGTGGTGGCCGCAGCAGCCGCAGCTCCAGCGTCCGCTTTGCATCCACCACGACGTCCTGCCGGACCAAGTACTGAGCACCACGCCCCGCAGCCACTGCCGGGGAGAATCACCCCGCGTCTCCTGTTCCCGTCCCTGAGCTGCCTGGACTCTGGGCCTGAAGGGCTCCTGCATCCTCCTGTGGGGAAGCTGACCGAGACCCTCAGCTCCCCCCGGGCTGCCCTGCCTGGCTGGTGACCTCGGGCTCCAGCTCCAGCCCAGGCCAGTCTGGCTTCCCCCTGACCCCCGGTTTCCATTCTTCCTTTCGATTACTCTTCACCAGCCGCCCGACAGCCTCCAGAAATGCAGATTCGACACCCTGTACTCCTTCCTCTTTCTCCCCCTGACAGGAGAAGGTTCTTTCCTTCTCTTCCCGACCCCAGAAGAACCCACAGTCCTTGGTGACCCAAGGGATCCCTATGTCTCCCGAGATGGTTTTTTCCTCAAGTGGCTGCTTCTCTTCCTGGGTTGTTGCTTTAACTCCAGCGTGTGAGTGCCCGAGGTGGTGGGGTACAGGTGGAGAGAGGGGCTCTGCCTCAGTCCGTGCACCCCGTCCCTGTTGGCGGTGTAAAAGAGGCCCAGCCCTGTTTGCTGCGAGCCCCGGGAAGGCCTGGGGTGGAGTGGGTGCCTGTTTGTACTGTGCTTTGTGTTCCTGGGTTTCCAATAAAATTGCCAAGCTCACATCACAAGGACTCCAGCCTCTCCTTCCGAATCACACTGGGGCCGGGGGAGGTCGCCTCCTAGACCACACCAGCCCTGCCTCTGGGGCCTCGCCAGGGACAGAGGCCGGTGCTCTGGGTACAGGGTTGCTGCTGAAGAAAGAGGCCTTCCCCAGAGGGGCTCACATTCAGTAGGCAGAGTGGATGTGGAGCAAAGGCTCTGAAACAAGTGCCAAGCAGGCCACTTCTCTCCAGGCATTGCCCTACGCCCCAGGGCTGCCTTCTTCCAACCAGCTCAAACCTTCCACCTGTTCCCCAAGTCCCACCACAGCCCAGGTCCTTTGGGATCACCATAGAATCCTCCACGGTCTGTCCCCGTCCACCTACTCACCCCATGCGGTGAGAGAGGCTTTCTTCCAAAGAAGAGTGACCATGGCCCTTCCTTGCACATGGCCCTCCATGGTCCCATGGTCTTCCAGAAAGAACCCAAAATTCTTAGCATGGCATGCAAGTCCTGAGTGATCTTCCCATGCACTTCAACCCCCTGCTGCCCCCACCATGCACCCACTTCCAGACTCTCATCCTTTATCTGCTCATCCCACAAATATTTGATGTTTACTACATGATCTTAGAAACAGCAGTGAACAGGAGGGGTCCTTGCTTTCAAAGAGTTTGCATTCCAGTCTAATAGCTGGACAGCTAAACAAACTATGATTTGATATGCTCAGTGTATGTGAAAAAGCAGAATCAATATTGCAATGCACAGAAGAGCAGTCCAACCCAGACGTGAGGTATCACTAAAAGTTTCTTGGAGAATGTGATGTCCCAGCAGACATGTGAAAGATCAAGAATGGGTCGTGAGAAGAAGGGAGAAGTGTCCCAGGCAGACAAGAGCAGGTGCAAAACCCAAGAGACTGGAGAGAGTATGTCCATTTGGGGTGGCACCTGGGGTGGCCCCACCCCCACTGTGATGTTTATTACCTTCCATGCTATAGTCATACTCAACTCCATGTGGCTTTGAACTGAAGGAAGGCCCCAGTTGTCAGGCTGTGAGCCGTCAGCACCATCAGCTAAAATTCCAAAAGAAATTCCATTTTTGTAGCCCGAGGAAGCAGGAAAAGGGGACCCTGAGGTATGGAGGGGGAACTGGATGTTTTTCTCTTCTCTCTCATGGCTTTGTCCTAACTGCCACGCCCAGTCGTGGAGCTGTGACGAGGCAACGGAGTGGGCGGCTCACACTCTGAGGGAAACATGATCGCTCTGGGTGGAGGAGCCAGGAAAAGAGTTCTGTGCAGGGACAGGGTGGGGAATGGGGGAGGCTGGAGAAAGCGGGGGTCCTCTGTGTGTGAACCCACCAAGTCCTGGGCGTGCATGAGAGACCCAAAGCAACAGCCCAAAACTGAAGTCTGATTGAAGCCACTACCCAAGTGTCAAACTAACTCTTCAGTAGCCTGCACAGGACAGACACACGCAGCGAAGGAGGTGGGGGAACGGCTCTAAGTTTGGAATCAGGGATGGGAGAAAGAGAGGCAGAGCTTACAGTGTGAACTTGACCAAACTGTATCCCTACTGAAAGAAAACAAAACAAAAATAAAAATTCTTCAGAGAATTTTAGCAAGACCAAGAGAATTTGGAATGTTCAGGATACAATCTAAAATTATTTTGAAATTCAAGGAACCAGAAAAAGGTGACTAATTCTCAAGGAGAACAAAAATCAACAGATGCCAACCCCAAGGTGATACAGATGTTGAAATTGTCACACCAAGACTACAAGTGCTCTGTAAATATGTCCCATGAGCTGAAGGTAAACAGCTTTGAAGTGAATGAAAAGGTAGTTCTCAGCAAAACCCAGAAACTCTCAAAGTAGGATCAACTGAAAATTTTAGAATTGGAAAATACTGTAGCTGACATTTAAAAATCCTTGACAGGTTTCATAGCAGAAAGGAGAAGACAGAAGCATCAATAACTTGAAGGTAGATCAACAGAAATGATCCAATCTGAAGAACGAAGAGAAAAGAAGATCTGTAAAACAACTTTTAAATTAGAGACAAATGTACATTATACAGAAAGAAACAAGAATTTAAATCACCACAGATTTCTCAGAAATCCTGAAAGACTGAACACAGCAGGCCAACAGCTTTAAAGTGCTAGGGATTAAAAATAACTAGCAAAGGGCCCTCCCCTGGTGGCTCAGAGGTTGAGCATTGGGTTGCCAAGCTGCCCGCAGTCTCTGCAGTCTCTGCAGTCTCTGCAGTGCCGGTTCAACCCCCAGCTGTTCCCCGGCCACCGGAGGAGGGTCCCACATGGCGCGCAGACCTTTCCTGCAGCCCGCTGCTCCCCTCAGCAGTATATTTTGTTGGTCTGCCTGTTCTGTTCCCCATTCTGGTGAATTCACCCCAGGCCCACATGAAGGGGTGCCAGAGAGGCCAGCGGCCGCGTGATCTTCCATTAGAACTCACTGGCCCCACTAGCCTCTGCCTAGACCTGCAGAGGCCTCTCGAATTTCTGAGACCCCCACCAGAGAGGTCCAAACCCATGTCAGGGAGGGGCGAGAACAGCCAGAGGCCTAAGGAGAAAGGAAAAAAACAGAGGGAGGAAATGTTAGAATAAATATAAAAGCACATTACCCTTCTCCTACATTCTTTAGCATAAGTGGGATATACAATGTGACCAAAATATATCCTAGTACATATGATGGCATTGTCAGGTGGGGCTTCACTGTCCACGCTCCGTCCATGACAACTATAGTTGAGGGTGGAGAGGAAACGGGAGGTGCAAGCCTCTGACGTGAGGCGACAAAAGTTTGACTCTGAGAAGCCTGTGGAAGATGAAGCCCCTGTGGCTGCTGAAGCCCAGGCCTTCTGCTTTGCTGTGTGACCGAGGTCCTAGAGGCGACGGGACACGAGCAGAGACGGGGCCCAGCTGTGCTCCAGGGCCTCTCGTGCTTTCCCCACCTGATCCTTTCAATAGCCTCACACAGTAGGTGCCTTTATCTCCCCTTTGATAGACCAAAAAAACCAGGCCCAGGGCTGTCCGGTGACAGAGGCAGCCACATTCTGTCTCCAGAGCCCATACTGCCTCCACCAAGGGCTTCTGCCGGCCGCTTAATCGCAACAGGCCTCCTGCCTCATCCTTAAAATGGGGAACTATTTCCACCTTCAAAGAGTGGTTGTGGAGGTGGATGCAAGGGCACAGCGCAAAGGTTTAAGGACACAAAGTGGGGACAGCACAAGCAGCTGCTCTTGTTCTGTTGGTGGTGGGGACAATTCTAGTTTCATCACTCCTGGCAGGAGGTGGTGGTCGGACATTCAGCCAGGGCAGTACAAATGCGGGTGGATTCCAGGCCATCAGCGGCCTGTTTCCTGCTCTGGCTGACGTGGCAGAGCTGGCGCCACCGGCAGGCCCTCCCTCAGGCTCCTGGTCCTACGCCTGGGGCTCGCCCGCCAGCCGTGGGGGTTTGCTGCCCTCTGCTGGCTGCCACCTTCTGGGCGGCGCTGCCCAGGGGTTTTGAGCTTTTTCCTCCGATTGCCTTTAGAGCGTGAACATTACAGCAGTAAAAAGCAACCTGAAAAAGGAAGCCCACCCCGTCCCACCACCCACCACCCCAGCAAGCACCTTTTCCCCTCTGCGCTGCTGTTCCCACAAGACGCTCAGAACACCTCAGCGCTGGGGCAGGGAACACCAAGGCGGGTCCTGGGTCCTGTGTTTCCAAACTGGGTGTGGCCCCTGCGGCTCAAGGGCCGGGGCTCCCCACAAGGTGACCTCAAATGCCTCCCCACGATGTCCTTCCGTGGACACACGTCATCAGTCACAAAACCGTAACCCCAGTGCCGCGTGAGGTTGGGAGCCAGCAGGGAATGAGGCCACGGGCCCTCGCTCCCAGGAGCCTCTGGGAGGAAGGGGAAGGACTGCCCACGGCCAGTAAACAGAACAAGCAAGTCGGGTGCGGGGTGCATGGACGGTGTCCTCTGCCGTGAAAGAAAGGAAGAGATGGGAGGGAAGTAAGCCCGGGGGATGCCCTGGGAGTGAAAGGACAGGTCGCCATTTTGACAAAGGGACAAGGAGCCTTTTTTGAGACTTTTTTGAGCCAGGTGCCCCACAGGTGGCAATGGAGCGAGTGGTTGAGGGAAAAGCATTCTGGGCAGAAGGAACAGCCCCTGCAAAGGCCCTGAGTCAGGAGTGCCGGGTGTTCTGAGGAGCGCAAGGAAACCTGAGGGAGGAAATGAGGTTAGGGAGGTCACTGCAGGCAGCGCAAGGCCTGGCTGGACACCGTGAGGCCTTTGTCTTGTTCTCTGAGTGACAGGAGGAAACGTCGGTGTCTGAGCAGAGGAGTGGCTCAGCCCTACCCCATGTCTAGGGGGCTCACTCTACTGTGCTGA